ATCATTGCGACAACGGCAAAAATGCTGAAAATGTTAATTTAGATTTTTAGTCCGTAGTTATAAGTTATATTTTAATTTATTTATTATCCATTTAATAAGTTTTAGATTAGTTGCAAGTAACTCTTGTTGAAAAATTACATCAGTAAATACTTAAATATGTGAATAAACTAATAAGAGGAAATAAAGTATCGTTTTTCTTTCGTTACATATATGTATGTATATTCCCTGAACATACCATATACATTCACTGAACATACACATGTACATTCACTGAACATACCATGTACATTCCCAGAAAATACACATGTATATTCACTGAACATACCATGTATATTCCCAGAAAATACACATGTATATTCACTGAACATACCAGGTACATTGTCAGAACATGCACATGTACATTCACTGAACATACCATGTACATTCCCAGAACATACCATGAACATTCAGTGTATTAACTCTGACAGATTCCTGGGACATGCATGGAATGTTAATAATGTAACTCATGTATGTCCCACGAATATGCATGTACATCACATGAATGTTCCAGGTATATTCTGGGAATATCATTTTGCTATGTGGGTGACTTTTCTTGTAAAATCCATCTTTCAACTTTTCTGTATAAAAGACTCTCAGTTTGTGAGTATTTTACAGTCAAACTTTAGGAAAAACGCGTTGTTCTGTTTAGAGAGGGGTTTGTTTACTAACCTAAAAGTGATACTAACCCGTTTTTGTCCTGAATTCTACTCCGAAAAATTTTTTTGTAAAATTCATACAAAGCTATAAATATATTTTGTATTTTTAAGTAAAACTCTACAAAATATAGCGTTTTTAAGTAGAAAGCAAAGCCAAAAAAATCAGTCAAAACTAATAAACCACATTTGCGCGCTTTTTGATAGTAAATTATTTGATTTTTGTCCCAAATTCGAAGCTGGAAAGGGATTTCAAAACTTTTTACAGAGCGACGAAGGAGGCGAGTGTTCTGATCAAATTTATTTCATAATTTTTCGCGAAAAATACCTTCAGGTTGTCAGTATTTTATAGTTAATTTTTTGAAAATTGAGCATTTAGGAAAACGAGTAACTTTGCTCAAACTGAAAAATTCTGAAATTTAGAAATGTTAAAATTATTATTCATAAATGGCCCTTAAAATAAATTTAAAAACATGTAAAAAAAGTCATCAACATTTTCCGAGCAACGGAACTGAATTACTGCGCTGGTGCGTTGGGTTAGCGCAACAAGTCATTTGCGTAGCACTGCGCCAACTCCTAAAAATTCATTGGGTTACACAGAACTAGCTAAAAGGGTCAGATCGAAGGCGGTTTTTCGTTGAAATGGATTTAATTAGTTACTTGGATCATGGAAAATACGCCCACAGGCAGGAAAATGGCGCAGATTTACCAAAATATCCGCGTTTTTGAGGAAGAACATGCCGAAAGTTAACTTAAATCGCTAGTAACTGGGCCCTTTTTATTTTTTTACCGTGGTGGAGTTGAGTGTAACACCGTTATTTTGCTGTTTTCTGGCACGTTTAAGCGGCGTTTTGAGTTTAGTTTTTCTTCAGTTCTTTTAGACATTTGAAATCGTTAAATTCTGAAACTTAGCGCAATTTTAGTGCACCTAGAAAACAAACCCCTTCTTTGTCTTCAACTTATTGGAGGATTTCAATGAGTTAAAGAATTAAGCTCGTTTTGCTCTAAAGAAGTTTTCGAGTTTAAAATTCTGAAGTGTCCTCGATATATCCGGCTGTAACTTGTCACTTTTAGGAGTTTCTAGTAGCTTCAAAGTGCATTTGAAAAATACAGACTTTACCTTTCTTCAATGGTCTACTCCCCATTTAGAGTTAAAAATGTGGAGAAAAAGTGTACGTATATTTCCGATTTAGTGATCTTCTGAAGTGTTGATTTTATTAGATAATCATTATTTCGCTTAAAAGTTACTGATAAAGCAATTTAGTAAATTAGTGTTACCACGCTTAGGACATAAATTATCAATTAGTTAATTCGCATTGGGACGTTTAGTTGCCTAATTGCTATCGTTCCACGTTAGTCAATCAATTAGTAGAAGAAGTAGCTTAGTGAGTGAAAATGAACCGAACCTAAGTAATTGCTTCATTTTAGTATAATTGCTGGTTACTTTGTAAGGTCAAAAGACACACGCATCTATCAATTAATTTACCTTCTGAATTGTTTTAGAAAAATATTCACGTTTAGACTTCGTTTGCCGTCTAGGAGCGAAATCTAAAATAAACAACAGAAGCAAATTAAATTATTTCTCCAATTATTAGCCCGATGGTTGTTCTTTTGGTTCACTTCGTGAAAATTTGCCCAAAATCTACACTCGAGCTCACCTCTTGATTGTCTTTGCGCGCTTTCGGCACACAGCGATTTCCATAGTTTGCCACACTGTTCACCGCTTCTACTGCAGCAGGCCCTTGCTGGCAAAACAGCCCTTCCATTTCCGACCAATCAATATCGGCTAGTGGAGAATTCTGATGTCTTACCGCCACTTGCGTCCAGATGTTGTTCGTGCTGACAATCTACAAGAATTCATTGGAAATTCCTAAGTCAATGGAGCCGACCCAAACTGACCTTATTGCTGGGAATTTTGTTCCAATTCACAGTCTTCATCTTGGACTTGGGGGCCGGAATCTCCTGCTGCGGTAGACGTTCGATCAGCGGCTCCTTTTCAGGAGGTTCTGGTAGGTTGGCCGCCTGGCGCATCGCTTGACTGGGCGGAGGTGGAGGTGGGATTGCAGGTGGAGTCGGCACTGGCTGGGGAAAAGGAGGAGGTGGCGGAGGAGGCCCTGCCGGCCCTAAAAGAAACGCTTAGGTAGAACCAGGTTTAGAAGCCCAATGCTCAAATACCTGGAGGAGGAGGCGGAGGCGACAAAGCCCCGAGCAGCGATGTCCTCCTAGACCCGCTACCAGATTCTGGTTTCTGCTGGCAGGTACAGTTGAGCCTCAATTGCGACTTTGAGTTGAACCTGCTCAGTCTGGGCGCCTCTTCTCTGGTCATCGTGCCTCTCTGCACCGCCTTGTCCACATTGTCCCACACAATGTCGCTCAGAGGATCATTGGCGTCGATGCTCAGAAGATTGTGCAGAATGTTCAAGAATGGCACTGCGTGCGGGCCATCGGCCACCTGCTTCAGAATGGCATAAAACACATCCAAGGGAGAGTCCAGGTCGACATTTTTGCTCTCCAGGCGCTGCTCAGATTCATCGCTTTTGTGCTGCTCCTCAAACACGTCCAGTTGCGCGGTCAAATCTGGTTGAGGATCGGACTTTCTCATCCTGTTGAGCACCTCCAGTAGCTGGCATTCTGCAACCCACCAGCGTCGCTAAATCAACCAACTGGACCCGTTCCCCCAACTTACCGATGAATTCATTCCTGATCCGGACCCGATCCCTCAAATTTGAGGTGGAAATGACCAGGCAGTTGATGAAGGCCACTAAGGCCGTTTGGTAGTCGCTGATCCGTGTCTGTTCCAGTTCCTGCACAATGAAGGCCATGCGGTGCTTCTGCTTCTTCAAGGCCTGGATGAGGAGCAAACCACAAAACAGGCTTTACTAACAGCGGAATAATCGGGGGTTTTGCCGGTTACTTTATAGTATTCCAGAGTTTCCAGAGTCCGGATGCGACCCTCTTCGTTGTGCGCGCAAAGGGCGGCGAGCAGTTCGAACATTTGCTTCCGCACCCTGATGGCCGAAGGCCCAATGGAGCTGAGCGCTGTGGCCAGTTTGGCCACATACTCCGGATGCTCGACGATAAAGTCCAAACCATCGCACGCTTGATGACCATCAGACATGTCCATTGTTATCTGAAGAGAAATGGAAGCACCGATAAGAACTGTAATTAGGCGCGCTTATGGAATGGGACGCTTTCGAGTCCCAGGCGTTTTCTAGGAAGAAACTACTGAAAACCCATTGGGCAACAGTGTTTTCTTCAGTTGCAACCAGTGTCGTGCCCGGTGGGGCACAACTTTAAAATTGAAGCCGCAACAAAAACGTGTTTGCTGGGTCTGGAAAAAACGCCATGGATTCACATCCAAGGAAGAATTTCGGAACTAAACGGTGTAGATTCGAAGACAATGAACTTTTGTTCTTTAATGGAGCTGATTAAGCTGGCATTTGGCCTGGCGGCCTCCAAATCGACCTGATTCAGCCTGGCAAAGTTTTGGGATTTTTTTGGGCCGCTATTGAAAATGCGATAACCAATTCCTGCAGCGACGACGACTAATGATTAAGCGCCTTACCTATCCGGTCTAAGTGGACGTGCTTAAATTAGTAATTAAGACCAAAACGGTTGAGTTTACACTATGACCACATGCACCTTCAACCACCTGTTGAACGAAAACAGACCGATCAAACTGGACGAAATTAGTGTCATTAGGCGAAGAGACGACGAAATAACGACCTTCTCCGGTTTTAGTGGCGGTTAATGCCCGTGTTAATCCATGGGGCCCATCTCTTCGAGCGCAATTGCGGGGCCTTTTTAATGCGATCTCGCGTATGGTTAGTGTAAACTGGTGTCTAAGTCGTGTCGCCAAAGTCTTGTTGTTTAGGTTCCGACGAATCAGGCGGCCTTCGCAAGCACCAGCCGCTTCTCGCGGGTACTCGCGCGCTGCTGGTACTTACTTTCACTTTTGGCCACACGATGTCCGCAAATTAGGCTCAACTGGGCATGAATAGGGAAAAATTCCAACAAAAATTGCGTCCAAATCCCATCAGATTGACTGGCCGCATCAGAAGCAGCTCAGCAGGCTTCTGAGCTGGAAATTTTGCTCGTTTTTGGGAGCTAAGTGGAATTAGGGCCGAAAGTTGCTTGAATTTTGTTGTCTTTCGAGCCAAATTTACGAGTCTAATGTCTCACTTTCCTCTTTTTGTCTGGTTTGTTCTTCGGCCATTTTTCAATCCTCGGTGTGGGTTGCTAGAGAAAAACCGTCGCAAAGGCGTTGTTTACTTTTTTTGCTTCTAAACTGTGCTTTTTACTGAAAAGAAGCAGTGGAAAATGCAGGGGTAAACAAATATCTGTTTCATAAATTAGTCGATATAAGTCGATAATTAGACCGAAAGTCGCTTGAAAATATTTGGTCCTTCAGGCCGAATTTGTAACGAGTTCGTGTCCAAAATCTCACTTTCCCCTTTCTCCTTCTTTTGCTTCGTATTTTCTATGGCAGGCTCTCAATCTTCAGTGCAGGTTGAATAGGGAAAAACCCTCGCTTAAAGGTCCTTTTTTATGTTTTTTTGATTCAAAACTTTCCCTTCTTAATGATTGGAAGAAGTCGAAAGTGTTGAGTGACGCAAATATTAAGAAACCCATATTCCTCTTTCTCATTTGTGCTTCGTTTTTCCGAAGATTTCGGAGTTTCAAAGTTGCTTGAATTTGCTGGTCCTTCGAGCCGGATCTACGACGACTTCTTGTCTAAAGACTCACTTTCCCTTTTGCCTGCCCCTTTTGCCTCGATTTTTTCGGCTGTTTTTCAATCTGTATTGTAGGTTGATTAGAGAACAGTCGCTTAAAGGCACGTTTTGACTCTTTTGTCGTACTTTTCAAGTTGTAGAAAACAGTCCAAACTGTCTACATCTGCAATTGTTAAAAAATCCAGTTTCTCCTTTCCCATTTATCGGTTTCGTTTCTTCTTCGTTTGCCTTTACAAACAGTGAGTATAAAGAGGACAAAGTCTTCGTGATTGGATTTAGACTCACTTGAGTCTCTTCGGTCCTTCGAACCCTTTTAAATTCTCCGTTCCGGTTGATTATTTGTTTGCCTCGTTTATTCTTCTGTGGTTATTCCCAGCTTGAATGAAATAATTCTCGCTTAACTCAACAGCAATTTCATGCAGCAGATAAACTAAGATCGAAACTGACTGGAGAATTTTTAATGTTTCGAGTCGGATTTGCAACCAATCTTTGTTAAAATATCAGTTTCTTTTCTTGCCCTTATTTGGCTTGAGCTCAGGATGTCAATCTTCAATACGGTTTGAATAATAAGCGATTTTTTCTTTAAATTTACAACAGTTTTTTAAAGTCTCGAAAAATCAACAATTTATCGCCAATATTTGCAGGAAATCGAGCGAAAAAAAACCCAAATTCATGTCATTTCCTTGCCCATTGGCTCATCAGTGATAGATAAGTTGAATCACAATGGTGCATGTTTGACAATTTATGAATATTTGGAATCTATTTGAGTCACTGCAGGAAGTTGACTCTAATTACTCGACACTGATTAGGATTTCCTGCGGATAATTCGGCAAATAAGAAAAATATAATTAAATGCAGCACAAGACGAACAGGCTTGTAGTGTGCGAGTAATCTAAAAAAAACCGACTCGTCTTGCCATATTTCAGACATTATATATCTGGTCCATATTTGGTCGTTGTTGCGAAATGGGCAATAAAACGGAATTGCCATGCTATTTTTGCGGTTAATTTTAAAGGCGCCATTAGCGTGTGATGGACGACTCATTATGTTCGACCTTTCAAAGTCGGCGAACTTATGGAAACTACCATCCAGCTCCAGGTCTAGCCAGTGACGGAAAATAACGCAAAAAACTCAACAAAAAACAGCAAGAAACTGCTCGGTATATTACGTAGATTCGAGCATACACAGTTGGGAAACTAGTTGATGATGATATCGGATGATTCGTTGAAAGCGAAGATGTTCCAGATGAAGAGTAGAAAAAAATTCGATCCTAATAAATTCGTTCAGGCAGTTAGTCTCGCACGAAGACGAATTCATTGTAATGATTCCATCTGTTCTCCTCGGCGTCGACGCCCGGTTTCAAGTCCGATGATCCTCCAGATGTCCCAGAGCCGCAACTTCCCACCTAAAAAAACCTCCTGCGGTCATGTAAACTCCTCAGTGCTTGAACGGTTACCATTTTAAATCCCTGCTCCACCAGCATGTCGAACGCCTGCTCCAGAAACGAATGTTTGAGGAAGAATCTGGAAGTGTAGCGCTCCAACTGGCCATGATCTGGATCCCGACTCTCGTTCAAAGTTTCCCCGAAAACTTCCCGGCAAAGCGCCACCCTGCCACTGACCAAAATTCGGGACAACTTCCGGAACTTCACTTCGGCCAGTCCGTCTTTCCCGAACTGGAAACTTCCTCTGTAGCCCACCGTTATTACACCTGCACGTTCATGGAAGTTGGCAAGCGAAAATAAATCGAGTTTTGGTGGTTACCTGGTGGCTTCACTCGGTTCTCGCTGGTGATGGCTTCCACCAAGCCCTGCAGAAGGAGCTTTTCTGCCTCGTTTTTCAGTCTTTCCTTCTCACGGAAGCAGTAGGGCAGCAGGATGGTGCCGTCTCGTAGAAAATCCAGAACGTATCTGGAAAAATCAAGTTTAGCTCCCGTGAAAAATGCCGGAAATTGAGCTTCATTTGCCTGCAATAAACAGCGAATTAAAAAGGGTTTGCAGCCTGCAATTGCCGCAATAAAACACTGCTGTTAGATCGATAAATACAGTAATTAATATTGAGGGAGTTGAACATGCAGGTAATTGGAAGTTTTTCATCAGAATGTGCTCTTTTCAGAGAACGGAGTAGAAGCGCCCATTTCTTGCTAATTTTTGAATTGTCTGAACTGAAGCTTTTTGTTTTGGAAACTTTCGAATTTACAACCATCTTCAGGAAAGTTGTAGCGCTAAAGCAAGAGCCAGTAATATTTCTTAACGACACTTTTCTAAGGATCATTGGTCTCAAAGAGTTTGGTTCGTACTGAAATTTCGAATGTGATCCATCTTCAGGAAAGCTGATACTCTAAAGATTTGTCTTGGAAATATTTTTTAAAAGCGCTTTTCTAAGATTCTTTTGCCTTAAAGAAAGCACAATTTTAAACCGAGCAGCGCTTTTTTGCTTTGTCCAGGCAGAAAATATAAGTTCATCTTCGGGAAATTGAAACTCCGGAGCGAGTAACATTTCCTTAAAGGAAACTTTGTCAAGAGAATGTTTTCAACGGCACATTTTTGAAGATTCTTTGCCTTAAAGGGAGCACAATTTGAAAATGACCGCTCAATTGTGTAAACTTTCAGTTTCGACAAACGTCCATCGTCAAAGACTTTAGAGTGCTCCATCATCAAGACTTCGTAATTTTCCTCTGATGTGTTTCATTTTCCGGTAATTTTTCGCAGATTTATGGCTTATTGACTGGCACATGTAAATAAATGGCAAACCAGGCCAAATCCGTTGCTCAGCCAACTGTGTATTCGCTCGCTTCGGCAGTTCGATAACAAGCCCTTCGGGGAAATAAAACGCATCAATCATCAGTTTGTCACACGCCTGAACCACTTGGAACACTCCAATCAAACAGGTTAGCAGCAGCAGGAAAAACTGGATGAACGTACCTGAAGAGAACGCCGTCCCTGTCCAGGAAAAATCGCCCTTTGGAGTCCTTCTCCACTGGTTCCGAGCCGGTGAAAATGCCGAAGAGTTTCGAGTTCGGATGGCTGGTTAGCGTTTTCAACGTTGTTGTGTATACAACTCCTCCAACGTTCAGATCGATTACGGGGGGGAAATCGGGCGTCTGGGACATTTTGGGGCGACGGCCAAACCGGGACTGACTGTAAAGATCGCCAATCCAGATGAACTCCCGCTTTGCACATACGCTAACTTTCCCAGTGGCGCTTCATTGGGGAAAACTTCCCCAGGAACTTCATTTTACTTTTAATAATCAAGCGGAAGTTTTGTGCTTTTTTCTGCCCTTCATCCAAGTGTTTTCATTCTTTTGTCTCACTGTTCTTGAAGTTTTCAATTTTTTTGCAACAATGGCGAGTGGGTGTTTGTAAGGAACGATGCATGAAGAAATACAGCAGTTTCAAGTCAGCAAAAAACCGGACAAAGCGAATAATAACTTCAACTGACGAACGCAACTAAACAGCTAAAGGAAGAAAAGGAATTTTCAATCATTTTTATTACATTTTTGCACCGTCAACTAAACTCGATTCAATCGAGCCAAGTGCGTTATTCGCATTAAAAGCGTCAAAGATTATTAATGAACAATCTCCAAATGGGAAAACACATTACTAGAATAACAATGTCGCTTAATTGTTTGCGTGTTAATTATCAATCGGTTTTAGCAATTTGCTCAAGATTGATCAAATTGTCCCTAAAACGTCTGATGAATGCGACAGCAAAACGTTCTTAAAAGGTAACTTAAATGGCATCAGCAGTCTGTTTGCAGTGTGTGTTTTAACTGTAGTTTTAACCGCCTTAAATATATCCAGAAAACTAGGCCTGGGTAACTGAATGAATTTTTAGGAGTTGGCGCAGTGCCACGCAAATGGCTTGGTGCGCCAACCCAACGCACCGGCGCATTAACTCAGTTTCGTTGCTGGAAAAATGTTAATGACTTTTTTACTTGTTTTTAGATTTATTTTAAGGGCCATGTATCAATAATAATTTTAACATTTCTTCAAAATTTCAGAATTTTCGAATTTTAGCAAAGTTGCTCTTTTTTCTAATGCTCAATTTTCTAAAGATTCACTTAAAAATACTGACAATCTTAAGTTAAAATTATGAAATACATTTTATTAGAATACTCGCGTCCTTCGTCGCTTTGTGAAAAATTTTGAAATCCCTTTCCAGCTTTGAATTTGGGACAAAATTCAAATAATTTTCTATCGAAAATCGAACTTGATAAGCGAAAGTTTATACTAAATTATTTGGAAAACTTGTCACTTTGTAGAGCTTCACTTAAAAATACTGACAAACCGGATGTATTTTACTCGAAAAATTACAAAATATATTTATAGCTTGATAGGAATTTTACAAAACTTTTTTCGGAGTCGAATTCGGGACAAAAATGAAAATAAATTTTTCCCGTTTTCCCCGAAAACTATTAGGGTTTTTCCAAAAACTGATCACAAAACTAAAAGTTTTAACTCAAAAATGCAAAAAATATGATTTTCTGATTATTTTCTTCTTTTCTGCAAAAATGTGATCTTTGCAGCAAAAAATGCAAAAAATTGTAAGAAACTTTGGAAAACCCTTTTCAGCTTCGGATTTGGCATAAAACCCAAATAATTTTATTCAGTTTTTCACCGAATGTATTTAAGATTATCTTGTAAAAACGACCAGCGAGCAACAGTTTGCAAAAAATTATTGGGAAAGTTCGCCGCCCTCATCGCTCTGAAGATTTTAAAGTTTCTTTAAAATTTTCATTCATCGGTTCATCTAAAGTTCCCTGCAACTTTAGGAAACTTCTTTTCAGCTTCGAGTTTGGCCCAAAAACCAAATAATTTTTTAAATTATCTTGAAAATTAAGAGTATCTGTAAAAAACAGCCAGAGAGCAAATGTTTTCGAAAAAATTACTTCGGAAATTCGCCACGCTCTGAAGATTTATCAAGTTTATTTAAAATTTCAGGTCATTCCAGTTCTAGCAAAGTTTCTATTAAGCAATTCTTCTACGAAAAAACGTATTATTATTAGTTTAATTAAAAATACTGACAATCTTCAGGTGATTTCGGTAAAAATTATAAAATAAATTTAATTAGAACACTCGGCACCTGAACAGCTTTGTAAATTTTTTTCTGGAACCTTTTGCAGCTTCGAATTTTGGTCAAAACCCTAATAATTTTTTCCTGATTTTTTCCCAAAAATATTTCAACAATAGAGCAAGAGAAAGCTTATAATCAATTATTCGGAAAACTCGTCACTTTTGTCGCTGTGAATAATTTGGTGTCTTTAAATTCCGGTTTCTTCACTTTTAGGTCAATATTTCTAAACAAAACTCTCTAAACAGAACAACACGTTTTTAACGTTCTACTGTAAAATACTGGCAAACTGAGAGTCTTTTAAGCAAAAAAGGTTAAAAGATGAATTTTACAAGAAAAGTCGTCGTCTTTACAGTTTGGTATTCTTTATCGTCTTCTTCGAATACTCGTTTTACCTTTGAATTTCGGACAAAATCGAAACAAAGTCTTATTTTCCTTCGACGACGTTTAGGTTTTCTCAAAAAACGACCAGAGAAAGCAAAACCGTATAAGTAATATTGGGGAAAATTCCTCATCGCGCTGAATTTTTTTTAAGTTTCTTCAAAATCTCCGGTTTTTCGCGTTTTGGACCAAGTTTCAAGCAGTCGTATGCGCAAAAGCGATATGTTGATGGCTTTTTTCGATAGATGCTAATATTTCGCCACCGGCCATGAGTTATAACTCATTAACCAATGAGTTAAATACCTACAAAAACTCTTACATCAAATGAAAGTGTATTTTTCGCCCCTTCGCCTTACTGCCAAGCCGGACTATTTCACAAAAGCGCAAGGAAACATAGTTTCACTGTTGTCTAGCACTTTTTCTTCTCCTTCCTGTTGCTGTTGTTTGTCTTTAATATGTTTTTTAACTGTTAATTTTGCAATTTTAACTTTCAAATTAGATTATCACTGATAAAATTTGTGATTTGTAGATCGATGAGAACTTAACTAAGTATGTAAAAATGGCTGTTGAGTTTCCTTCAGAAATGCGACAAGGCCGCACAAAGCAGAGAAAAACGCACTGCGAAGGTCGCAAAAGTATGTTTCCTTTCCCGGTTTCATTTTACGGTCATTCCACAGCGACCTTAGCTAGATTTTTGCTCATTAAAAACCGAAGAAATGTTATAGATTTATTTAATTAAACCTGTACGGCTAAAGCCTTCCTAGGCACGAAAAAACGGGCTTTTTAAAGAGTTAACGGCTCGACTGGCCATAGCCACTCTTCCTTCCTTTTGCTCTCGCTGATGGGAACCCATTGGGTTCTTGTACGGAGTGTTCGTTCCGACTTGAGCGCTAAAGCACGTGCTGAGACGGTGCGGTGCGCGTTCTTTGCCGATTATTTTTTTTGTTTATCTCCGAAGTGCGGACTGAACTTTGCCAATTGCTGTGAATGTGGAAAAGTGCCAGCAGACTTTTTGGATGCAGTTTCTCGAAACTGAGGTAGACTTTCCAAGTTGAAAATTGCGCAGAAATCCTAGCTTAAATAGTTGCGTATTCTTAATAGAAATTGGGCTGGATTCGGTTAGTTGCACATCAGTCTTTGAAGTAATTTGCGTAATATTTCATATGAAAATTATTACATCGGGCTTTAGACCATCATTAGCACTATTTATCACGCATAACAATAAAAAGATGCGTGCTATTGAGGCACTTTCTCCGCGCTCCGGAACTGTTTGCTAGTTGAAACAATCGCCCCAATCGGATCCGACTTGAGTTTCAATTGCATCAAGCTTCGTTAATGATTTTAGCCTTATTTTTCTGGCAGCTAATTAAACACACGTCCAATTAGGAGAAAAATGGCCAACAATACATCTTCGCACGGTGCCACTATCAGAATACATGAAGGAAACGCAATTTAATTCCTGGGTCAGAGCACATTTAACCGCTTAATCTTCGCATCCGAAATGCCCATTGTTTGTGACCTAGAAATGTGCAATTTTGCGCAAAACTACATAAATTCGCATCGTTCCTCTCAGTGAGGACGATCTTCAGGATCAAATCCAAGGTAAACTTTGCTATTTTGTGGCGGTTGTATCAGTTTGGATTGTTGTTAGGAACCAGTCCAATTGAGACCGATTAGGATTGGCTTGAAAATGTGCTTTTGAGCTTCTTTGCTGCATTTTTTGCAACTTCAGGTATGTTTTCTTGGGGAACTTGCTCTAAACAGTTGCAGAAAAACTTTGAAATTTACTCCATTTTTGCGAATTGTTTTGTATTTAGTTTGAAAACCGTTAAAAATATCGCAATTATGCTAAGGAGCTTTTTAAAAAAGCATTCGTTCAGCTTTATTTCCGTTCGCAAAGCTTGAAAATTCCAATAGGGCTTTGCCCCCTTGGATGCCTTTGACAGTTTCAAAGCGTCGTAGCTCCTAAACGGTTGAAAATATCCAAAGACAACTAAATACCTTTTCGATGGCCTGTCTAAAAGTCTATACGTTTTCATTGGGAGCTTAGTAGAAATACCTAACATTTTAGTTAGCTGCGGTTTAGCTGAGTCGAAAACAGTTTCGTTTCGATAGCTGTTCTAGGCTGCTTCGATATCTATCGTTTGCTGGTTAGTTTTTACTGGAAATTTTTAACATCTGAAGAGATAGGAACAAAAATGTACAACTTTCAGGTGTTCTGGAGGTTTAACCGCCGATATCTAAAAACTGTTCAAAATATCGAACCAGTTCTTAGAACTTTTTCGATCGCTGTGTTAGACGTCTATCGTTTACTTATTAATTTTTAATGCAACTGTCTAACTTCTAGAGAGATGGGAGCAACAATATCCAACTTTCAGTCGTTCTGGCGGTTTAACCGCCGATATCTCAAAAGCTGTTCAAAATATCCAACCAGCTCTTAGAACCTTTCTGATCGCTGTGTTAGACGTATATCGTTTGCTTATTAATTTTTATTGGAACTGTCTAACCTCTAAAGATATAGGAAGAAAAGTATCAAACTTTCAGGCGTTCTGGAGGTTTAACCGCCGATATCTAAAAACTGTTCAAAATATCGAACCAGTTCTTAGAACTTTTTCGATCGCTGTGTTAGACGTCTATCGTTTACTTATTAATTTTTAATGCAACTGTCTAACTTCTAGAGAGATGGGAGCAACAATATCCAACTTTCAGTCGTTCTGGCGGTTTAACCGCCGATATCTCAAAAGCTGTTCAAAATATCCAACCAGCTCTTAGAACCTTTCTGATCGCTGTGTTAGACGTATATCGTTTGCTTATTAATTTTTATTGGAACTGTATAACCTCTAAAGAGATAGGAAGAAAAGTATCAAACTTTCAGGCGTTCTGGAGGTTTAACCGCCGATATCTCAAAAACTGTTCAAAATATCGAACCAGTTCTTAGAACCTTTTCGATCGCTGTGTTAGACATCTATCCTTTGCTTATTAATTTTTATTGGAATTTTCTAACCTCTAACGAGATAGGAGGAAATTTATAAACTTTGGGGCGTTCTGAAATTTTTAACGGCCGATATCTGAAAAACTGTTCAACATTTCCATTCAGCTCTTAGAAGCTTTTCGATAGCTGTTCTATAAATCTATCGTTTACGTATCAGGTTTTATTGGAAATTCCTGACCTTTAAAGAGATAGAAGCAAAATTATCCAACTTTCGGGCGTCCTCGAGGTTTAACAGCCCGTACCGCAAAAACGATGCAAAATATTCGATCAGTCCTTTGAGCCTTTCTGATAGAGTTTCTATCAAACAATATTTCACTAATGTGTTCTACTGGAAATTCTTAACCTTCAAAGCAGTAGAGGCAAAATTAGGAAACGTCGAAATTTACTAGTAGATTTATTCGTTTCCATCAGGAAGAAGCCGCAGGATCATTTAGTTTGCTAAAGTTTCGCAGGTTTCACCTCAACCATCTTCAATCTTTATTACTAGGAATCCTTCATTCCTGTTCGATTCTACCTATCGCCAGAGGCAATCGAACCAATAGCAATCAGGCCGTGTCTTGGCTGAGAAACAGGCGTGATTTTTCAAATTGCGACCTTCGTTATCAAATTGAAACATGACAGTAACTGGCCAAAGGCACTGCCATTCGTTATAAAACCACTACAATTACCCATAATATGTATGGCAAGTGGATTTGCAACTAAACACCCATTTGCAATTCACTTTTTCTGCTATTTACCTATTTATATAGTCAATGACAGCAGTTCTAATTACATACTAAATCCTGGGCCTAAACTGGTTGTATACCAGCCGGTTTTATTTGCATTCTTCACTAGCTGGGGCTAAAAAGGCCTTAAATACCTCAAAAATTAAATTACAAAAAAACAACTGCTAATCGAAAATTATCTATTTATTATAGATTTAGATTAGTCACTCAGACAATCTACATCTGAGATTAGTTTAGTGGATTTCGTAAGCCAATCTGTTAAGCAAGCAATAGTAAATCAGGCATTTTTCACGAAAATTAACTGGCCGACCGACAATCCAGACCAATGGTGTAATTGTTGGGTTTGCTTAAAATTAAAATTATTTATTAGCATATTTCCTCGTAATTATTTAAATAAGTTGATACTGAAAAGACTACGGTTGCTCCATAACAACTGCATATATTGGCTGATTAGCAACATTCTTTTCCGTGTTATTCCCGGTCGTTGTAATTAGAACAAATTTGCAATTTATTACTTGGTGCCAAGTTATACAACACTAGAAAGGCGATTATAAGGACATTTTTATTAGACGGGGTGATAATTCATGTTGCTCGTTATAAAGTCGCTGATAAATAAAAATGTCCAGCTTCCTATTGTTATTAACGACTTTTAGCGCTTTTTGCGTATAATTTGGCTGAAAGTTTCACGATTTTATGCCGGCTTTCCCTGGAAGGAAATGGCGCTTACGCTTTCACTTTTCCTCAAACTGGTCACCGTTAAAAGAGTGCAGAATTTTTGAATGATCCTGAACGATCAGGATCACTTGCTATTTTTTCTGGAAATCCACAGATTTACATAAAAGCTTTAACTTTCTAGTTTTTGAGAGTTTATTCATACTGAGTTTGTGAAATTCGGACGTTTTTAGCGCGATTTTTCGCTTTTGCTTGTTGGTCTTCTGATGAGCGTATCTTAAGAATCGTTCCGATTTTTCGATAGAGGAACCTTCAGTTGACTTTTGGTGTGAATTACGTTTTGTTCAACCCAAAAGATAATTTATAATTAATTTTTGAACTTTGGAAATTTTTAGCGGACTTCTTGAATTTTGCACCATTCCCTTCGGAAGCTTGTAGCTGAACAATTCTTGCAGACATTACAGGGTGCACATAAGGGTTCGGCAGATGAAGCTTTCGTTAATTTGGTTCAATTCGAGAAAATCGTTTCTTCAAAAAGAATTTTTGAATTTTGACGCTTTTTGGCACGTTTCCTAACTTGGGCAAAATTATCCTTCTGAAGCTGGTATTGGAATAATTCGTTAAGCTCCTGAAATAAGAAAACGAGTGTTTGATATTTTAAGATTCAGTTAGTTTCTTTCGCAATAAATTTTTTAATTTGGGAAAATTTTTTCGCCCATTTTCTAATTTTGGTATAAGGCTTTTTCTGAGCGCATCATTTGGCTAATAATTCAAACGACTGAAATTTTTATACAAACGCTCCATCCCGAAAGCTTTGATGATTTTGGTTTCGTTTGAACCAACAGTTTCTTCAGAATAAATTTTTGGATTTTTGTGCGTTTTTTAATTTTTTTTTAAATGCTTCTTTTGAAGCTCGTATCTGAACAACACTAAATGTCATTAGAATGTGGATAAAACAGTTTCATAGACGATACCTTTCGTTCACTTACGGTGGGATTGTGGTTTTATTCCAGTTAAATGGTTTTTACAATAAATTTTTGAATTTAAGCGGTTTTTGGGCGATTTCTAGATTTTGCGTTATGCTTCTTCTGAAGCTTGTAACAAAACAAAGCTTCATGCCATTGCAAAGTGGATACAAGCGTTCAAAAAAGGAAGCTTCCGTAGATCTGTGGTTCAATTTTGTGTTAGTCAGAGCTAATGGTTCCTATGCAATGATTTTTTAAACTTGGGAAATTTTGTGCGTTTTTTCCGGTTTTGGAGTAATGCTGCTTTTGAAGCTTGTATTTGCGCAATGCTTTAAATGGTTGAAATTTGGACATACACGTTCTACTGTGCATTTTTCTGTTAACATGTGGTGTGATTTTGGTTCTGTTCGCGTGCACGAGTTTTTCACAAAGAATTTTTGAATTGGGCAATTTTATGCGCTTTTTCTAATTTTTTTTTAACGGTTTTTTGAGGCGCGTATCTAAACAATGCTTGAAACCATTGAATTTTGGAAACAAGCGTTGGATAGAGGAAACCTTCATCAATTGGTGGTGTGATCTGGGCTTTATTGTAGTCAATAGTTGTTTCGTCATAAATTTTTGAATTCTGACGATCTTTTGTGGGCTTTCTAATTTTTGACTATTGCTCTTCAGAAACTTGTGACAGCGCGATGCTTCAAGCCATTGAAGTTTGGATATAAGTGGGCGATGGAAGAAGCATGTCTAAACATTTGGTGCAATTTTAGTTTCATTGGAGCTAGCTGTTCCTTCATAAAAAAAATAATTTTAGAAATTTTTTGCCCGTTTAAAATTTTTTTTCCGGGTCTTTTGAAGCTTGTATGTAAACAACGCTTACCGGTATTGAAACACGAAAGGCTTTTCTTAATGCGTCCTAAGATTTTTGTTTCGTTTGTTTGAAACGAACGGTTTATTTCTAATGAACTTGTGAACATTTCGCGATTTTCTGCACGCTTTAAACTTGGAGCATTAGAACCAAAAGTTCAGATATTTTGGTCAACTTCTTTAAAACTTCTTATTATTCAAATCCTCAAGTTTGATTGACTTTTTTGCAGGAATGACCAGCAGCCAGCTTCAATCTAATCGACAAGGCGCAAATCAAATGAAGCCGAAATAATGGATTCGCTCAAGAAACTGGTGATTCTGCTTGTTTTGAATCATGCCACATTTGGTAAGTTTCGTGTCCATTTAAACGGACTGGTTGTGCAAAAGACATTGTTGAATTAATTACGCGTTGTTGCCTTGCCGGGAAACAACGGTTTACGGAATAATGCCATTTAGTTGACCAGCACTCACAATCGACTTTGGTACTATAAAAAATTATTGTCTACATAATTTTTGTTAATAAAAGGCTGATTAAATTGACAACATCTGGCTAATCCACCGAGTCATTTACATATCAATGATAAAGTAACGGTGCCTGGAAGATGAAGTGGAGAATTTTTTTGGGCATTAATCAATCAAACCCTGGCGTTTGTAAAAATTGTACAAACTGGCACAATGAATGAAAGTTTCGTTACAAAGATCTTAAAAATGCATCTAAAACGTAGCCTTCATGCTTCCGCTTAGACAAAGCCCCGATTATGGCTGGCGATAGTTTTAGCCTAATTGCTTCTTCACATATAATTCCGAGTTACTAAACAAAGCGGATGGTTTCTGATTGATTTGTTGAAATTTAATTCAATTGACTCATAATTTTTGCTGTTTGTCTTCAGTTGTTTGTTTCGCCTCAGTCTCGGAGAAGAAAATTAATATAATATAAATTAAAATACAGCGTTTTTAACATGAAGGAAACCGAGTACATTTGCATTGGGCATGGAACTAATAATCCTCAAAATTGAATTTAGGTTTAATGACTGTTTCACGCCTGAAAAAGTAAATGTTATTCAAGAAATCGAAAAAAGCACCCGATTGAAACATCCTAAATAAGCTTAGCAGAACTTATCGACACTTTGAACGGACAAGTTAGTTATTGAAAATGATTAAGCGCATTTTAATGAGTTGAATAATAATCGGGGTCCGTTCGTTGGAAATGTTCGAATGAGGCCACCATTTGCCCAACCACCGGTATTTGATTACAAATTGAAATTTGCTAAATATATGGATTTTTAAGCGAAATCCTTCACTTTCGATCGAACGCTCCAAACGATCTGGACGGCTTTGAACAATGCTTATATAATTCGTTTGAGTTCAGTGAGACTTCAGGAGGAATCACTCACTTTTCACTTCAAAACAATGGCAAAAATGAAAATTAGCGAATTTATAGAACGGTTAATTTCAACAGTTATTCGATGCGGTGTTTGAAGCCCAAGCTTGTTTGGTAATCGGCAATTATTAATAATCGTAAAATGCTGGTTATTGTTCGCATTATTTTGAGTAACCAAAGGAAAGTGTTCAGATGTGTTTCGAATGGTAATTATTGTTAGATAACTGGCTTGTGCCAGGTCGCGCCACAAACCTTCAAACTGTTCAATTGCCGGCTCTAATTGAAGAGGAAAGTGGCGGAAAAAATGCGCAAATCGCCACGATCGAACGGTAAATTTATGCATTCCATCCATCTGCATGGGATGTCAACATGCACATTGATCTAAATAATGGTAACGGACTTTGATAACGGATTCTCATGAGTTATGGCAGAAATTCATAATTCTACTGGGTTAGTTGAGATCATTTTGCATTTTCTCCTATCTAAAATTGAATTTTTGCCCCCTAGAAGAATTCTCTTTTTCAATACGCAGATGCAGTCATTCACTCCACTCCACTCCATCCACTGGGCAAATTTGCTGATTAAAAAATTCTCAAAATTCACAGAAAAATGGCATAAAATACAAATTTATATCGCAATTAAACGATAGTTCACTCTATTAACGAGTTGCAAAATTGCTCTTTAAATTTTGCCGGTTTTCCGGTAATAAACATTTTGAAAACAGCGTTTCACTATTGTACAAATCAGTGGCACATTTTCGATTGTACTCGTTACTTCAAAGATGCGCCACAATTTGTAGTAAAATTACATTAAAAATCGCGCCTTTGAGGAATTTAATGCAGAGTTTTTTGTGTTTAAAAACAGCAAAAACCAGCTCTGGTGTCCTCGAGTTTTGGATTAATTTACATTTGATAACAATGTTGGGGTAGTGCAGATTAAAGACTGTCGAATCAAAAAATTGCCAAAATTCATGGAAAAAGCGCTGAAAAGTCAAACTTTTAGAGCAGAGAGAATGAAGGGCTCTCTATTTATGGCAGTCAAATGCAAGCTTTATTTTTTGTCAGGTTTGTGCTACTTAATATGAGAAATGTGGCGCGGCATGCTAAAATCAACTGAGCAATTCTGAAAGCGTATAATTAAAAAATTTTCAAAATTACTTGAAAAATGGCACAAATCACAAAGTTACATGGGAATTAAACCAGAGTCTACTATATTGAAAACTGGATAAATCGCGTTTTAGCGCCTGCCAGTTTTCGCGTAATGAATATTTGAAAACGGCACTGCGACATTGCATAAATTAGTGGGACATTTTGGAGCCCAGCCGCACATTCAGAGAGTCTCTACAATTCATACAAAAATTTGCATAAAAATCGGGCTTTGGAAGAAATTAGGCCAGGTTTTGCTGAATTAACTAATTCTAAGCAATTAATTTGGCGGAAATGGAGTGCGGGGTGCTAAAATCTACCTGGGCAAAGTTGCAGGGTTCTATTTAAAAAATTATCAAAATTTGTATACAAAAGGCAAAAAAGGGCAAATTTTCTGCAGAATTAACACATAAGTTTTTATATCAAAAATTGTCAAGAGGCATTTTTTATTTTTTTAAATTTTTTGGTAACGAATTTTTGAAGATCGGGTTCCGACAGTGAACAAATAAGCGGCAGATTTTCTATTCCACTCTCTCTTCCCAGAGTCGCGAAAATCCATCGAAAAAGTGCATTAAAATCGCATTTTAAAAAACGCGGCTTTGTCGTCAAGAAAAGTTGCATCAAAAGTGCTCCTTTGGGAAAATTAGAACAATCTTCGCTCCATTAAAAAACGGCAAAGACACTTTCCTGCCTTCCCTGGCTTCAGAATAATTGCAATTTCAAAATAGCGTTTCGACATTGCAGGGCGACAGGCTTGCAATATAAAAAAATCGTCAAAATGTATGCAAAAAACACTCGAAACTCCAACTCTTAGAGTAAAAACACGAACATTGTCTCTATTTAACGCAGTCCAAAACAAGCCGTGATCTTTGCTAGTTTCGAAGTACTCAATATTTCAAGACTGGAGTCCGAAATCCACCTTTGAAATTTGGAGGCGTCAAACTAAAAACTCCGCCCAATTCATGGAAAACGTGCAGAAAAGCCAAACTTCTGGGGCGTTAAAAGCAAAGCTGTTGCTATCAAAACCAAGCGACATAAACCGTGGATCTGGGCTGGTTTCTGAGTAACAAGCAATCAAAAATTGCGAAATCTAGACAGACCATCACCTCTTGAAGCACCGCTTCGGATTTCTCGAACTTAACTGGAAAACCTCTCAAATCAAATCGCAGTTTTAGGCCATTGGAGGCCTAATTGTGTAAAAAGTTAGGTTTCCAGCCAGTGTTTACGTTTGTTTTCCGGTCAACTACTAATATTTCAACCAGTTTCCCAACTTGAGTACTTTTCTTCCTGTTCAATCAAACTGAAAACGACAATTCACCCATTAAAACAAGCAGCATTTCCTAACCGATAATAACATTACTTTACCGATGCAATTTGTGTTCTAGTTTAAAGTGCAGCCTGCAGCAAGGTAAATAAATGGAAAAAAGAACCAACTGCGTATCCGGCAGCACCCAGAGCATGGTATTCTGACTTTCGCTTTAATATCACACACAATATGAACATGAATCGAAGCAATAATAATATCGCTAAAAGTGCAAACTTTAAAAAAATCAAATCTTAAGAAAGCTCCTATTTTGGAACCTTTTTGGCTTATGATGTAACTTTTAAGGAAATATTATTTAAATTAAACGAGCATAATGTGCGTGTGAGACAAGCCATTACACAAAACCGTCCAAGCACTCTAACGGTATTCGCATGAAAAACGACTACAAGAGTGAAAATAATTAAACTTTCCCATTAGCCGACGAATGAGTTTATTACTCTTATTTCTGTTTTTTTAAGGTTGCCAGTTTTACCCACAAGGGGAGTATCTGCGATTTGTGCGCGTTCCTGAGAACTTGAAGGTGGGCGACGAAGTACTCAGGGTGGAAGTCCATCCCAGAAATGGCCTCAACTTGCTGCCAGTGGACAAGGTACGTGCAGAACTACAGGTTTTAGAAACCACAATAAACTCGCAATTTTCATGAGCAGAATGAAGATGTGAACTATTTCACCTATCGGGACTTGAACAAAACGACCGTGGCCGTTCTTCTGGCCAAATCCCTGGAAGACTTGGTGGACCGGCACACGCCAAGAAACGTGCTCAAGTTCAAACTCAGCTGCGATTTCCATGATGGCGAGGACACAGTAAGCATTATTTCTATTCTAAGCCTAAAAGGAAGCTTTGCATACTTTCCACTTCTGTACCGGATTTTTGATATCCACCGGCTAAATATCAGTCACATCACCATATAATCAACGAATTTAGCTTCCTTTCACTCTCGCAATATATGAATGCTTTTGCTGCCGATGCTTCGACCTGCTTTTCTTCGGGCCTGCGGCGCCCCAAGAGTATCCCAATATTCAAATGGCTTGTTTATTGTGCCAATAGATCAGCTGAAGTGGATTATACAGAAGCCAAGATTGGACGCTCTGATTAAATAATAAGCGAGTGATTGCCTAATTTTGTGGGCAAAAAACCGGGTTGAGCAACGTTCAAAGCCTTAAAACTAGAGCGTCCAAATTTTGCTCGAAATTTTTGCTTTAGGGCAATTGGCGCTATGGTTTGTCTACAAAAATGCGGCAAAATAAACTCAGATTTGTGTAGCGATTGCAAGACTGCGGTAATTTTTGAATTTTTCCTTAAAAAGTTGTAAAGGTTCCAAAAGAGATGAAGCAAAAGGCTTGCAAGGCTTGACTGCGCATTTTCGACTGTTGCTTTAAAACCGCGTCAACTTTTATAGAAAGGTGACTGAAAATTTGCGTTTTTAGGATAGTCGCGAAATATTTGTCCGTTTAATGAAGCTTTGAAAATATCCTTGCCAACTCGCATAACTTAGCGGCGCATTTTTGTCCCATTTTTAAAAAATCCTCAAATTTCGTAGAAAAATTGCACTAAACTCCCACTTTTGGGAACCTGACAGGAACAAAGCCTTTATTAAAAACTTCGAAAATTAACCGTTTGCAACATTGCAAGACTTAGACGCGCATTTTTGACCGTTTCTTCAAAAATTCTTTAAGCTCATGGCAACAGCACACAAAAATTGCACTTTAAGAGAAAATAGACGAGAATCCGTATAGAAAATCGGTAAAATCAACCTTTTGTCTTGTCCAGTTTCGGAGAAAGAAAATTTTGAAAATTAGCTCGCGTGATTCAAAAAATTAGTGGCGCATTTTTTTGTTTACTTCAAAATTTTTTTTTAAGTTTAAAAACTATACATGAATGATATATCGGCCAGATAAAGTAGAATGGCTCTTTGTGTGTAAAAGAGCGGCAAAAACTGTGTTTTATTCCTGATAATCTCGGAGGAGTTAATCAAAACAAGCAACAGTGCAAGACTTAGAGGGCCGTTTTTCACTTTGAAAATTCGCCAAAGCTCACATAAAATTCGCAAAAAACTTTGATTTTTAGCGAAATTAATAGAGGGTTCTAAGTATTAGGAATCGGTGAGATCCTTTTTCTAGTCAAACTATTTTTGGAGTAATGAAGATTTCAAAACTAGCTTACAATATTGCAATACTGAGAATACTAAGAAGACGCGCATTTTGAACTTTCTTTAAATAAAATTCTTTAAGCTAATGGATATATGCCATAAAAAATATTTACTTTTAGCCAAAATTTTAGCACAGTTTTCCTTTGCGAGTTTCAGAGCACGACAGATTTGAAACAAGTTTGCATCATTGAAAACATGAAAAGCGCATTTTTAGCCCTTTTTTGAAAAAAATTCCAAATTTATAGAAAAATATGACAAAAACGTCTTTTCGCGAGAAAGTAGGGTGGAGTTTTGTGCGTAAAAGGTCGGCAAAACCAGTACTTTACTCCTGCTAGTTTGCGAGTTATTAACCGTTTAAAATTGAGTTGCAACACTGCAAGCGTTAAAAGCGCAATTTGCCTTTTCTTTTGAAAAATTCGTCAAATTTCCACTTTTTGAAGTTTTTTTTTTAAAAATCGCCCAACACTGCAGATACTTTGTTCAAAAATCGTTCTTTTAAGGACATAATAACATAAAAATTGTCTAAATTCCCTTATTTGCTCCCGCTCTTGAGAGAAAAATTTGAGGATGGGTATCGACATCGCAAAATAGAACGGCACCTTTGCATTAAAAAATTGTCCAAAACTCATCGAAAAGCGCCCAAAAAAAACATTCATCAAATTCAGAACGCAGCTTGCTCTAACAAAATCGTAAAACCCCCTGTTTATTGCCACCAGTTTTGGTGTAATTAACTTTTCAACACGGCATTGCCACAATGCACAATTTGATGAGTTGGAGTTTGCGACGAAAATATCGATAAAAATCACAAACAAATTGAGGAAAAATCTCACCTTACCTACAAAAAACAAAAGCACTATTGTTTTGATCGAAAACTATCAAAACCAATCCTTCCGCTAGTTTAGGAGTAATTGACTCAAAGCGGATCATGGTATTGCGCAAAAGTTTTTCAAAAATCTTACAATATTTACATATTGAGGAGCATTTAGTTCAGTGCTTCTATTGAAGGAAAAAAAATCCCGAAACCCCAGTTTTCGCCTCGCAATTGTGCTTCTAAAGTTGCCCAAGCATAGATCCATTGACGAGACCCTTAAGAAGCTCGAATTATTCCATCCACCTTGATATGGATGATGAACGTTTCAATTGAATACCCGAGAAGAAGAAACGCCAAGTGGACCGCTTTAGCAGAACCGCATGGCGTTTGATGGACGCAACCACTTCACTTTGATACGTTAAGCAATCATCTGTAATCGAGCACGGAAACCCATGTCTTCTAAACTGGACGCAATTTGCTAAAAATAGCCCAATAAATTTGTTTTCCAGATAACTTCCTCCTTATCCATCACCGTCTATGTCGAAGACATCAACGATCACTCTCCAGTCTTTATCGGGGCGCCGTATCAAGTCGAAGTCGATGAGCTCTTTCCCGTTGGTAAGTCCCATTCTTAGACTTATTGAACACACCGATCGATGCCAATTTAAATCAGATAACCGTTACTTTGCAAGCATTTGTCTATCCGCTAGATAACAGTCGGAGCGGCTTATGAGGATTAAACGCCGACAATGAAAAGCCGTACAATTTCTTGCATGTGGACATTTATTTACGAGAAAACGAATTTTTTGGCAGGTTTGACCCTGTTTAGGGGTATCAGGGCAATCGACCAGGACAAACCAAACACCCCGAATTCGGATGTGCAATTTGCAATCATCGCCGGCAACGAGCGAGGCAAATTCGCGCTGGAAAGCAGCCAACAGCCTGACGTTCTTTTGCGCAAAAGTCTGGACTTTGATGCGGGAGACCGCGACTTTCTACTCACAGTTGCAGCCACCGTAAGTCCCAACAAAAATGTTGGATAACAGCAATCATTCACTTTTCACAATCGCACGAACGTCTAGGTTTAGGCGTGGATTCGTTTAGGAGCAGCCATCAGTTGCTTTCCCTTTGCGCGCAATCATCTCGCATCCATCAACGTAAATTATTCAGAAAACTTTGTACAAGTTGCTTGGAGATTTTTGCATTTTTCATCATTGGCACCTCGATATTCTGATTGGTGGATTTTCAAACCCCGCAATATACAGGTCGATTTCCAGGATCGTGGATCGCCGTCCAAAAGCTCCAACGCCACCATTCGGATCAAAATCAGCGACAATGACGACCTGCCGCCCAAATTCACCAAGGGCGTCTACAGGACGAGGATCCACGAATTCTACCCCATCACCGTAAGTCCTGGATTAGCAGCAGCCTCAAAAATCCACACAAACAAATTGCCGATTTATCCAGGGCGCCAAAATCCACGAAATGCTCACTTTCCAACCGGCGATCTTCGCCTTCGATCAAGACTTTGCCATCGATACGCCCATTCGATACGACATAATCGCGGGCAATGAGCGCCATCTCTTCTACCTAGATCACGTCAATGCCTCCCTGTTTCTGGAGCGGGAAATCGATCTGGATGGCGAACGCTCCCTGCCAGGGAACACGTTTGTTCTGCAAATACAGGCCTCTCAAGTAAGAACCATCCATCCAAGAAAACTGTGGGAAAACGGGGTTGTTCCGATGCGTTCCAGGTGGACAATCCGTTGAAAACCGGGCTGGCACGCGCGGAGATCGAAGTCATCGATCTCAACGACAATTTGCCGGAGTTTGAAGTAGACTTTTACAACATCAGCATAGTAGAGAACTTGCCCAATGGCTTCAGTGTGTTGCAAATCATGGCCACTGATCAGGATCAGGGCGACAATGCGGACTTCTCCTACCAGCTGGACGATAAGAGCGGCGCCTTCAGTCTGGATGCGCGCTCTGGATGGCTGACGGTCAGTTCAACCACACGAAGACTGCAACTGAGTAAACCCCCGAGTCTAATGTTTTGCAGGTGAGGAACCAAACCGTGCTGGACAGAGAGCAACGGGCCGCCATCCAGATGAAAGTGTCCGCCAAGGAAAAGGTTCCCAATGTCGTGACCAATGAGGGCGAGTCTTCGGTTAGTATCGAAGTCACCCTGTTGGACGCCAACGACAACAACCCGACATTCATCCCCACCAACCTCTACGACTTCACGACAACCACCAAGGCCAGAAAGGGCGCAGTCGGTAGGCCGGTGTTAACCCACTCACTGAAAACATCCTCAAACCTTCGCCTGCTTTAGTCGGACAAATCCATGCAATTGACCCAGACCTGGCCAGGAACGGCATGGTTTTATACGCCCTGCAAAGCGGCTCCAACAACACCGACTTCTTCAGCGTGGAGCCGAAGTCTGGAAAAATCCTGGTCGCCAATAGCTCGCTGCTTTCGGGCAAACATTTGCTTTTCATCGAGGCCGCGGACCAACCAGTCAACCCCAGCGAGCGCCGAACTTCGCTGGCTGTTGTTACCATCGATGTGAAAAGCTACAAAGGTTTGCACTGGTGCAACTGGAGTTTTTGAAAGTTAACAGCGGCGGTTTCAAGGTGACAACGACTATCCAGAGTTCATTGGGGCGCCCTACGAGTTCTGGGTGGGCGCAAACGTGGGCATTGGCACCAGTATTGGTCAGCTGCGCGTCACCGATATGCCCGATAGGAGTCAGCTTTCCTTCGACCTGCTCCACAGCTACCACGAAGGGGGTAAGAGAAGCCCTCCGTTCACAGGCTAGTGGGTTAATTTTGGAGGTTTCAGTGCCTTTTGCTGTAGAGGAAAAATCCGGGGTGCTCACAGTGGTGGACGAGCTGAAGAAGTTCACGCGACTAAACTACGACTTTGAGGGCGTGGCCAGCAATGAGAGGGACGTCTCCTTGATCACCAACGTCACTCTTCATGTGGTGGATCCGAAGGACGAAAAGACCATCCTGATGAGGTGAATGCGGATTTCAACTGGGGCATTTGTCACTGTTTGCTTGCAGGACCGGGAACGCCCCCATCGAGTTCCACGTGAAGGAAAACCAACCGAACATCCTGATTGGGAAGCTGGGCTTCAAAAACAACCAGACCAGCAGCGTGAAGTTTTCCATCGCAAATCAAAAGGACGTTACCGATATGATCGCGATCACCTCCGATGGAACCCTTCACACGCTGCAGTCTCTTGACCGCGAATCCAGGGATGTCTATCGACTCACTGTTATTGCAGAGTATCATAAAGGTGGGAGCTGCGCTCAGAACTAGGAAATTCTAATGAGCAACCTCTCAAATTGCAGGAAGCGCCCTGGGATCAGGAATCTACCAGGTGACCATCATAGTGGACGACGAGAACGACAACAAGCCCCTTTTCGAGCGAAGCAGCTACGAGGGCAAGATCCAGGAGAACTGCAAGTCTGGCACTGAGGTCGACCTGAACTTCCCCATCCATGTAACGGACAAGGACAGTGGAGACAATGGCCAGTTCACGGTCACAATCTTCGGGAGCGGCAGCGAAATCTTCCGCCTGGACAAAAACACGGGAAAAATTAAATTCATCAGCTCCAGCGCGCCTCTGGATCGCGAAACTACCAGCGCCTACAACCTGAGGCTGGTGGCCAAAGACAAAGGAGGACTCCACAGCGAGGCCAAGTTGACCATTCAAGTGGAGGACGAGAACGACAATGCGCCCTCTTTCAACGAAATCGACGTCTACACTGGAAGGGGCCTGAAAGTTCTGGAATACGATCGCGACTCCAACCGGGTGACTCACTTTGAGGAACAACCAGGCAACGACACCACCAGGCTCGTTCTGACTCAAACGTATCTTCGGGCAAAGAAGCCGCGGCAGAAATCCTCCCCAGTGATATCTGTGCCAGAGGACGTGGGAATTGGTAAGAATCATCTCAGCTCACCAGCCATTTCTGAGCGTTGTTTTGCAGGCAGCGCCATTCTGAAAGTGCTGGCGCTTGATCGCGATTCCGCAGAAAACGCTGTAGTTAAATACGAAGTCGTCTCGGAAACCTTTGTGCCCAGTCAGCGCTCTTCAGAGCCCTTCCATCTGATCCAGTACTTCATGCTGCATCCCAGTAGCGGTGAGCTTTCCGTAGCTAGATCGCTGCCTCCTGAGTCGGACTTCCTCCTGAACATCTCCGCAACCGACAAAGGCCTGCTCAGGGACCATTTGCAGGTGAAACTGCGAGTGAAAGACGTCAACGACCATCCGCCAGTCTTCAAGAAGTCCTGGTACAACTTCGACACGGAGGAAGCTGCATATAGCAGAAAGATTTTGGGAAAGATCGAAGCAATGGATGCAGACCATGGCGCCAATGCCAATGTCTCCTATTGGATCCAAGCGAAGAATTCCTCAGGGGTGCCTTTCACCGTTGGGGCCTATTCTGGCCTGTTGAGCGTTAATGGGCTTCTGGATAGGGAGGCCAAGGATAAGTACTCCTTTGTGGTGCTGGCCAAGGACAATCCCGCTGAAGGAAAGGCACTGAGCAGCTCGGTTAACGTAGAAGTCAATGTGCTGGATATTAACGATAATCCCCCAGTTTTTTATGGATACGATGATCTAGTGACTAACAACGAAGCCAACATCTACACCAATCACTTCTACCAGGCTAAGATTCCGGTCTATTATGCGGCCACTTCGGAAAACAGCCCCATAGGTACTGAGGGTGATTTGAGTGGGTTTGGGTTGTTCAAAGGATGCTTTCCAGGCTCCCCCGTCACCAGAGTGTTTGCCAACGACTCCGATTTTTCTGGAAACGGCAACGGCCTGATCCTGTTCGATATCCCCTTCCGCAAGGGGAGCGCCAGCCTGTTCTCCATTGACTCGAAAGAGGGCATTGTAACCACCATAGGGAAGCTGGACTATGAAACAGCTCGTACCCACAATGTCAGCATTGTGGCTTCGGATTTGGGCTCTCCAAGTCTCAGCTCCACAGCTTTGCTTATGAGTAGGTTCTTCAAGTTTGGTTTTTATCAGCTTCACTCCATTCAACGTCACTGTTTTTGCGTTTCAGTCAATGTTATTGATGTTCCCGAAGACATCACGTCACCCGAAAGTCCCGTTTTCGCCCATCGCTACTACGAAGTGGAAGTGGAGGAAAACGTGCCGGTTCCCTTGCAGATCCTCGCATTGAACGTGACCGAGCGCTACAAGGCGCACAAGCTGCGCTTCAGCATCGTGGCCGAAAAGAACAGCGACATCAAGCGCATGTTCGACATTGATTCCAGAAACGGCACCCTGTTCATGATCAAGAGTCCGGATCGCGAGAAAAAGGCGCTGTATGAGCTGGTGGTTCGGCTGGATCAGTACAAGGTGGGCAGGGACATGACCGTGGTGGTTTACCCGGTTACAAATGAGCGACTGGGAAATCTCGGTGAGGATTCCAGCTGGAAGGAGGCAAGGGAAGGTGGATGATTTTACTGTTGATTTTCTGCAGGTTTGAACGAAGTGAAAGTCGTCGTGAGAATAACGGACTTGAATGATAATGCCCCCAAGTTTATGTCCACCGGGCGTCCCATTGTGGCCGCCATTCCTGCTACTGCAGGTTACAGTTACGAAGTGATGCGTCTGCAGGTAAGAGACGTTGCCTTTTAGCTAGCCTTGGGTGACACCATTACCGCCGTAGTGAGAAAAGTTCGCTACACACTTTATTTCGGTGATAACGGTGACACTGTGTTGAGTTGCGCTTTTGAGTTGTTGCCGCTCTCCGAGTTAATGAGTTTTAACTCATTGGCTGTTGGGGTATATAGACCGCAATAGAGCGCTCTAAGTGAAAAATGTATGATATCCAAATTTCGTGTGACTTTTTGTGACAAATTTACCAGAATTTCCTCATGCAATTGAATCGAATTACCAATTCTCTATCCAATGATACAAAAACCATAGATTAACTAAGACAAAAACGAACTCTGTGGCTGAAATGGTTCTTGAGCAATGTAAAAAAGGCGGTATCATGTTTCAGTCAATTGACGAATAGGGGACTAAAAGTTCTACATGTACATGGCAACCAGGGGCAAAGCAATCCTAAGCTTACTGAATGCTGTATAGTGTCACCTGGAAAGAAAGAAGGAAATGTGTTTAGTAGGTAGCACCAGCAAATTTGTCCAAAGCCAGACTTATTTGAAATCAGCAAAGCAAAGAGAAAGAAAATAAAGAATCCATAAAACTTCAGTAGCTTGTCGGAAAACTTAACTCAGTTCAAGACAAAATATTTATAGATTAGAGGTCATTCTGACCAGCTTTTTGCAAGCTGGCGCTCTATCCTCAATTTTCGAGCTAAACCGTTACCGCCGAACACATTTTTCAAAAACTTTAACTCCTCAAACATCCATAGCTTTACGTCACACTATTTATGGCATGTTATAAATCGTATCATTTTGTTTGAAGGAACTTAATATGAATTATTTGTTATTGGGAAAATTTCAAACTGATCCTCTTGAAAATAGGTTCGGAAAATACAGACAATTAGCGGGGGGTCAGTAAAATATTTCCATTCGGCAATTATATGAGTGCGAGAAAAAACTTCGAATCCAGTCATTGATGTCGCTAAAATCTCGTTGCTCTGGAATGTTAACAGTAAAACATTTTTATGAAAGTGATGGTATTTTTGACGACGAGACAGTTTCAAATTCGGAATGGTTTGTCCCAAATTTACAAATTTCTCGGTGTGATTTGGAAAATGTGGAACATGAAATGCCTGTCATTACCTACTTAGCAGGATATTGTTGTTACATTTTGTCCAAGAAATTTAAATGCCTAATATGCCAGTCAAATTTAACATTTACAGATCAAATAGAAGTTGAAGACAGTCACATACTCATTAAAAATTTGAGTAGGGGTAAGCTTAAATTTCCAAAAGACCATGTAACAAATATCGTTTTGTATGGTTACCTCATTTTCAACAAAATTTTGGAATGTGATGAAGATAACGTTTTAGCAGTACACAATAAAAAGACGTTTTCGTCAACAACAACTTTACAATACATAACAGATAATCATTTGTTAACAGAATTTCCCCAATATGATCTGCATAGTACTATAAACTCGGTAAAGATTATCATAAATTCTGTCACCAATACTCTTTTAAATAATTATTGTGGAAAAAGAAATGACACCATTGGAAAGGGGAATAAAAGAAAGTTAGATACTCTCACTGAATAAAGTTGGTAGATTATTAGCAATTGTATTCTTCACTATTTAAAACAATTAGAACGCTTCGGAAACATGAAATATTAAGCTATAACTGAAATAAAAATATTTGTGGCTAGTTAACTACGTTCATTTTTTAGGAATAGAAAGGCTAATCACTTAAATCAAACAATGTAAAAAGCATATTAATTCCTGAAGACATTATTTTTGTCTAAAATATTAATATTCGTACAGTTGATCCATCATATACTCCGCTACGCGTTATGCCTGGTCGGACTACTTTAAGTGACGTCACAATTCAGCCAGTGGGCCTTCTATATTTCGGTGGTAACGGCTACACACCCTCCAAAAGTTCGCTACACTTTCACAAACTACCGCACTTGCCATAATGGCCACAATGAATCAATATTTTCCGTCTAAAACTGTGATTATCGACCGGATAAAAAAAGACTCCGAACTATAGAATGAACATGATTAATTAATTATTCAACCTTTTAGTGGTTCATGCTTTACTTAGCAGGTTTGATTTCAGTTTGTTTATTGTTGATATTTTTATGGAAAGTGTCTGTTCGCATTGCAATATTCCAAACACAAATTTCACTTTCCAACTAAACGAAAAACGCTCCAAGCGCTGTTCTTTCACACGCTCGATATTTAATTTAGAGCTATTTATATTTGTCTGAATGTCACTCAGGTGCAGTGATTAATGCACAACCCCAAAATGAAAATTAATAACCGAATTAATTTTGTTTTCCTGAAAATACCGACTAAACAAAAAAAAAATGCGAAGAAATCGCTTAAAAATGAAATTGTTGATAAAAAAAACTTTTGAACTAAAAGAAACCAACGAAATTTCCGTATATAAATAATATAAATATAAATAAGTTCTGACTTTAAGAATTATACAAAACTTACGTTGGGCCTTAATTTTGTTATCTTCTAGTTATGATCATCTTCATTTTTTTGTATTATGTTTTTCCAGTCTTCACTGGCTTCTTGCTTTATCAGATCTCATGACTTAATTAATCAAAATGTGCTCTGTCCAGTGGACTCAAAGTGCACTCCAGTGCTAGTTAAAAAGTGGCATAATGTACAACATTTTGGTCTTATCTTGTATACCTTATTCAAATTTGGCGTTATTTCAAGCATGTAAATTTCTTGTAAAGTAGCTAAGAGCTCAATCGGAACCAAATTCACAGAGCGGCAAAAAATCCAAAGTCCAATTCTACACAGAAGTGTTACACATGCCTAGTTTATAGTAGCTTGACCGCTAGGAGTAACTTTTACCACAAAACAAAAAAATTTTGTTTCTCGTAAAAAGGGGAGATGAGCTGTATCTTTAAAAACGCCATTTGGGAGCTTAGGTAAAACTGCATCGTTTATCTCTTTAATAATTTTTTGTATCTCTTGTGGTAAAAGATGGGGAGGCCAATGGATTTTTCACTACTTACGCTTTTCTATCTCCTGAAGTAGTTAACCGATTCCACTATTTTTGGACTAGTTTGAAAGATAATTTTAATGTCTTTTAAGGGCACTTTTTCTCTATACCTTTTGGTTTGAAATAAGTCAACTAGATGGCGTTTTCTGCAGCGATTACAAATTTTTGTGATTTTTGGAAAATAGTTAAATGGCACGATACCCTTGAGGCTTATGAGAGAGTTGACAGGTATTCCTGGAAACTGGATAATTCCGAAATTTACTGCGCCGGTGCGTTGGGGTGGCGCACCAAACTATTTGCGTAGCACTGCGCCAACTCCTAAAAAATTATTGTGTTACCCTGGCCTACTTTTCGCATTGGTGAGTCTTCGGGTTTTAACCAGAAGAAGAATAAAACTTCCATTGCTCCCTTGTCTTTGGACATAGCCACTGGAGTGGCCCCTAATTTTTCGTCGAGTTTTTAGGTTCTCACCCTCCCCCCCCCCGAATATTAGTAAATTCCTTGGTAATTTCTGGTCAAGAAGCGTCAATACGCTTAACAAATAGCATTTTAAATTTAAGGGCTTCTGTGCCGCCAATAAACAACACCATACACATATTCACATATGCGACTAAGGGCCACCCTAATAGGCACACTTTGCAAACCATCGAAACATCAGCAGAAATAAAGCAGTTTTAACGCCGATTTGGCGACTTCCATTAAACATCCGGCGTGCCCGAGACAAAAAAGTCTTTAGTAACATAACTTTCAGGTTTAAAGCATTGGAAATTGCGCTATTAAAACGAAATCAAAAGCTTCCATTGCTTCCATTATCTTTCCTCATCATTTAATTAAAAGTCCCCGATCCATTCGAGCCCTTACGCAGTGTAACGGCGACCCAGATTAGTGCAGAAATTTAATTAAATCGCTGCTCACAAAGCAGTCCATTAAAGGTAAATAAGAAGTTAAAATCACTGGTCTGAATGCGGTGCCTATTCAAAGCCAGATCTGACAAATGGGCTTTGAGGCAAAAGTGGATTAAAATCAGCTGAAACTTTCCTGGTTTCTCCCCCACAGGCCGTTGATCCAGATTTGGGGATAAATGGGGAAATTCGGTTCCAAATCCTCAGCAGAAGCGAGGAGGCGAATCGACGGTTTGCCATTGATCCGATCACTGGCCAAATCAGGGCTATCGCCAACTTCAACAAAGATGCTGGAAAAGTGTTTGGTTTCGATGTGAAAGCCACCGATAAGTCTGGAGCGGATGATGGGCAGAGCTCGATTGCCAACGTCCTGGTAAGCTTGGAAGAGTGTCCGATTTTGAAGAATGTTTTCCTATGACTTGTTTGATAGGTTTACGTGCTGGATGAGCAGAAGCAGGTGGTGATGGTGATGGGGCTGAAGCCTACCGAAGTGGAAAGGACCATCACTAACATAACCACGTAAGCCCGTGCTGACTTTGGGAAATCCGTTAGGGAACTTTGTGGTTTCAGGGCTTTGCAGAACGCGACCGGCTATGACGTTCGCATCCGGAAGCTGGAGCCGCACAGCGACAGGAACCATCTGGATCATACTGCGTAGGCCCCAAACTTGCAAACCCCATACCGGAAAATTTACTGGTTTTTCTCCCTTTCCAGGACTGATATGTATCTGTATGCTGTGGACCCGGCGCTGAACACTGTCCTGGATATGACGCAGCTCGAAAAGTAACGATTCCAGCCATTGAAGGGGGGAAAGCTGTAATTGATTTTGCTTCCAGAATTCTCCAGAAAAAGCAGCTAGCAATCGAGCGGCAGCTGGAAGGGCCGAAAGTGCTATCGTTCTCCAGCGGCGCCTCCGAAAGACACTACACTCGAACCCCCAAGCTCATCCTCTCCTCCATAGAGATCGGGGCCATTATCCTAGGAGGAATAGTGCTGGTCGGAGCCCTAATCACATCCATTTGCGTCGTTTGCATCAAAAAGAAAAAGCGAAGGTAGTTGGGCAATTTTCTCAGAAACTTCCTTGGATTACCGCCACTTTCCAGGCTGGAGAGATACACGTCCCACTTGCGGTATGGCCTGAGCTCTTCCAAGGTGGGACTATACCCGCCCAGCTATGGCGACCCGATGCGATATCCCGTAGGATCGGATCCTACTTCAGTGGACATGCCGATGGAGTTCACTCCATCTCGCCATGATGTTTCCTGTCCCAGATACACCGGCTCCCGGCTGGGGGGATATCGGGAAAAGTCGCGCAATTCCATGGGCCTGGAAAAATCCATCACCAGCCTCCATTCCAGTGGCCACGACTCAGGAATTGCAGACGGCACGATGGTGCATTCGTGTCAGTGCGGACACAGCAGCAGCAGGAGTTCGGGCGAAGAGAGCAGCAAGTAAGTGCCCGGATACAATCTTGCAGAATTCATTGATCAGTTTCTGATTTAAAGCAGCTACGAGGACTCGCTCCAATCGTTGCCAAACAGCCGCAAACTTCGCGATCCCACACCGGCCATGCATCACCACATCGCTCTGGGGCCAGGTTTGAATCCAACCATGCAGCAACAGCGCCGATCCAGGAACCGGTCCATAACTGAGGACATTATGGATGCGGGCGGATTGCGCCAGCTCCAAACCATGGGAGGACTCAGTCCGGGACCTTCAGGGATTTTCGTTAATGGGCCTTCGGCTTTGAGACGGTCCACTGAACGACTGATGATGGGGGGCCACATGCACGCCTGAAACGCGCCGTTTTGTAAATAACATGTAAAATGACTGTATATAGTTGATGTCGAGTTAGTTACCAATGAGCAAAGTTAAGGGGGGACATGGCAGGATTTTGAACTTTTGCAATTGATCTGGAGTTTGTTTAATTGGGAATTTAGGTGAAGCTGATCCGCATTTTCTATCTAACTTGCTCCTGTTCAGGCCCCCTTACGATGACTAATTAATTGGCGCGCAATAAGCGAGGACAAGTAGGATTAAGTCTCTTTGTACAAAGCAAACAATGCCTGGACTAGATCGGCCTACTCAGTGCAATACTAATAACCTTAAGTACCGATAAACCAATAATGTTATCGGAAGTAAATAAAGCTCGTTGCAAAAAATTGATCGTAAAGTGGATAAAAGCCGCCATCGAGCCTCAAGTTGAGTGCGTTTAAGTGCTGTGTTTTCCAGCAAAATGTGTCCCAACGCACTGTGTGCAGTTCTAGTGGTTTTCTGCTTAATCGCATCCATCAATCACCCGGTAAGTCTCACTTGAGCATTTAAATTCCAGATTACCGCATGTTTTTCACATAGGTTTTAGCGCTAAACGATACCAATCCAGACGAGCATGCTGCTAAAGCCAATTACTCGGTAAGCACTTAAGAGCTCCCAGATCGGCTGGGTTCATATCCAGATTTCAGGTACGGGTTATGAATAGCCAGGTGCCTAACGATCAGTACCTGTATGAGGCAGTAGGGATGCTCCAGGTGGCTTTGGAGGTTGAGGATGATTTTGGGAGGGCCTTTCCCAGGTTTCTGCGAGCGTTCCAGGCGAACCACCAGAACCAAGAGTGGAAGCTGGCCGGCGGCTGCAACCTGATGCTGCTCTCCAACCAGACCACGTATATTCAGCTGGAGGAGGTTCTTAGCAACACTGTAGTGAATATTTTTGTTTGAATCGGTTGAATACACTCCATGCTTCTGAAGACCGAAGTTTTGATCAAATTGAAGGACCCTTAAGGTGCGCCGGAGATATAAATTTGGAACCGATTCGTTCGGCGATTTATTAATCATCTAGATGATGATGATTCGCAGTGGGTTTTCGGTGGTAAGTTTCGTGTTCTTTGCCCTGGTGCTCTGCACCAGGGCAGATAAGGTAAGTCGTGCACTCGAAGCCCACACTGGGAGTTTGCAAGGAAACTTTGCAGGTTAATGGGGAAACGCACTCCATTAAACCAACGGCCGTTAAAGCAGCGAAAACACTCCAGCCCCTGGCTCCTTACTCCACATATTCGGTAAGTCGCACGCGAAAGCCAAGTTGATGGAAAATTACGCTTTTCCTGCTCTCTTCAGGTGCATGCGGTAAGCAGCAACGTTCCCAATGCTCTTTACACCTATACGGCCGTGGGAATGCTTCAGGTCTGCTTGGACGAAGAACTCACTTTCAGTCGCGCATTAGCGAAGTTCCTACAGAACTTCCAAGCCCAGTTCACTGCGGAAAAATGGAACCTTTCCAGTGGATGCAATGTTATAATGCTTGCGGACAATGCCACTTATATTGAGCTGCTTGAGGACACCACTAACACTCAAGTGACTATTTTTGACTAATCTTGCGAGTTTAGTTGGGAAGCTTCCAAATAGAGTACTTCAAGCTGAGTGATCAACCCACTTAACGCGTCTGTTAAATGTACCTATTAATAACTTAAATTGTTGCTAAATTTTAATAAAATTCATGTTCTGTGTTTTGAGCCACTTCATTTGTGGAGGAGCAGATTTATGCTTTTGAATGCGAGTTTTCCAGATAATATTTTAGAAACTATCAGGATAAAGTGTGATTTTTATACAGGCGTGAATGGAGAATGGGACTTAATTTAGGAGTTAATTTTTTACTTCTAGGGCTTAAACAGTGAACATTTTGAACTAAGGCCTCAGCTATGGAAGAAAGGGCTTGAAATACTATTCCGAAAAGCTGGTTGCCACTGGTTGGCTATTTTGAAAGTTAAAAAAAAGTGAAATAAAGAAAAGAAAGATAAACACTTCAGATGCTTGTGTCCAGCTTGATTTTTGCTTCTTAATAATAATAAAATAGCCCTTCACACACTCTAGTTAAAGCAACTAATCGGATATTTTCACTCGTTTTTGTGATACAGGCGGTTTTGACCGCAAAGTTTCCCGCAATGTTAAGCAATTTCCAAAAGTCCAAAGCTCACTTGTCGCACAAAGCGTGTAAACAGGTTTTGAATTTGTAATAGTTTTTTTAAGTGGCAAGCCACTTGATTATTTAATTTAGGCTCTTATTCCATATACATGTTTCCCGATGGCAATTCCTTCAATCCCCTTTGAAGTCACAGCTACATGAGCACCAGCAGTGGCAGTTGCAGTGGCCTCAGAACCAGCTGTTGCAGTTTGAGTAGCATCAGAACCAGCAGTTGCAGTTTCAGTAACATCAGGTCCAGCAGTTGCAGTTACAGTTGCATCAGAACCAGCAGTTGCAGTTTCAGTAACATCAGGTCCAGCAGTTGCAGTTACAGTTGCACCATTGGCCCCCGGGCCTGACACATCTAGGGAAAGTCGGACTGCGTTGAATCTGTGGATCTGAAATATTTTGTTAATATTTTCTTGGATAGACCATGGAGCTACTTACGTTGCTGGCGCTAGAGCTGAGTGCTAGGGAGAGAAGCAGCACTAAGCTGAGGACGCAAAGTTTGTTCGAAATCATCGTCTTGCTGTTGCTCGGGTTTATTCTGACAAATCAATGATCCCAATGAGGAAAACGTCCCAAATTTATACCATTTGAATCTTGAAGAGTCCTTCAGCTCTAATCAGTTAGTGGGCTACATTGTTGTTGAAGGAAGTTTTCCTCAGATGGAGATTATTTCGTTAGAGCTGAAGGCTTCGTGTTTGAACTTCCTGCTGGTGTTTCCTCACATTCAAACTCACTTTTTCTGCTTCAAAAACAGACATTTGTCTTTATTTTAACTAGGAAATCTTCGAACGCTTTGTGCTTATGTTTCGAATTAGCTGCATGATTTATAAATAAATCACAATGTAACAATTTTTTGAGGGCCAAGTTTGATTTGCAAACTATATGCGGTTTAAACACTTTAATTCTGCCTCGTCATTGGTTTCAAGTGCAATATTCAGCGTTCATTCAACAAAGAAGCATCGTTTTCAGCTGGAAAATGTGGATAAATCTTTGCAAAAATTGATTGAAAGGATCCAATTTGCAGCCAAATAGCTGCTAATTAATGAAAATTGAACATCTTCAAGCGCTGGTTCTTCGATTACCAAATACCATATTTGATGAACACAGGCTTATTTTAAAAGTATTTCCTCAGAGGAAGATTCTTGAAGAAATATCACGAAATGCTCGGTCTTCATGAGCTTCAGTTCCAATTTTGTTGACTGTTCTCTTCTGGGCCTGAAGCATCATTGAGTCTGAATCTGCCGTTTTTACATTTTGATAAAACGAATGAAATTTTACAGTAAGTTTTTTTTGCAATATGACGGAAAGAGTTCACAAAGTTCAATTTAAATCGGCAAAGAATTCAATTTTTCGGGAGCTGCTAAACTGATCGTCAAAAAGTGAGAAACTGGGCATCGCATGTACAGAGAGAAAAAAAATTGCTCGAAAGCCCAAACAAGGCCGATATCTGGGGTTTCAAAGCATTGAAGAAAAAATGCAGCTCAAAAACTGTACAAAGTTTGTTTTAAATGCGACTCACAGTGGATTTTTTAGAAACTCCCAAATTTTGGTGGCTAAAAGTGGACACTCGAACTTAGCAGATCCACAGAAAAAATAATTACTTCCAAATGAAGACAAGACGGCATCTGGAATTTTAACGCGATCGTGCAGAAATATGAAGTAAAAACTTCATGAACTTCAGTTACAATTGGCACAGAATTCAGTTTTTGGGAAGCTGGTAAACTTGGCGCCGAAAAGTGAGAAACTAGACTTCGCATGTACAGAGAGAACAACTTTTTGCTCGAAAGCCCAAACAAAGTCGTGATCTGAGGTTTTAAGGCTGTGAAGAAGAAAAAGTCTGGAGCAAAAACTGTCCAAAGGTTGATTGAAATGCGACTCACAGTGGATTTTTTAGAAACTCCCAAACTTTGGTGACCAAAAGTGAAGACTTGAACTTAGCAGATGCACAGACAAACATTCATTACTTCCAAATTAAGGCAAGACGTCATCTGGAATTTTCCGATTATCGAGCAGAGACACGAAGAAAAAACTTCACGGAGTTTAGTGTAAATTAGGAAAGAATTCAATTTTTCGGGAACTGCTAAACGGGTCGTCGAAAAGTGAGAAATTGGACTTTGCATGTACAGAGAAAAACAAATTTTGCTCGAAATCCCAAACAAAGCCGAGATCTGGGTCCTGAAAGCTGTGAAGAAAAAGTGTGGCTCAAAAACTGTACAAAGTTTGATTTAAATGCCACTCACAGTGGATTTTTTAGAAACTCCCAAACTTTGGTGGCCAAAAGTTGACGTACGAACTTAGCAGATCCACAGAATAAACTCATTACTTCCAAAATAAGGCAAGACATGTGGAATTTTAACGTGATCGAGCATAAATATATGTAGGAAAAACTTCAGGAAATTTAGTTTATATCTGGAAATAATTAAATGTTTCGGAAGCTGGTAAACGAGTCATCGAAAAGTGAGAAATTGGACTTCGCATGTACAGAAAGAAATTTTTTGCGCGAAAGCCGAAACAAAGCCGAGAATTGGAGTTTCAAACCTGTACAGTGTGGCTCAAAAACTGTACAAAGTTTGATTTAAATGCGACTCACAGTGGGTTTTTAGAAACTTCCAAACATTGGTGGCAAAAGTGAACAGTTGGACTTGGCAGATATCCAGAAAAAAATTATTACTTGTAAACTCAGGCAAGACGATATGGAATTTTACGATTATCGAGCAGAAAATGACGAAAGAAACATCACAATGTTTAGTTTAAATTGGCTAAGAATTCAATTTTTTGGAAACCTGTAAACTTGGCGCCGAAAAGTGAGAAACTGGATTTCGCATATACAGAGAGAAAAATGTATTGCTCAAAAACCAAAGAAAAAATCATGGCAGTAATTAATAGTCGAACTGAGACAGGAACTGGAATGAAACGAAACTTAGTCAAAAGCTGTGAAAAAACATTATCTGACAAAATCGCGAAAAACACCAAGTGGACTAAATTATAACCAAATCTCTCTCTAAACTAGCACGCATTAGAAAAAAAGCGTTTCGAGATGCTGAATTCTGGGCCATTATGCGCATAACATTTCAACCACTTGAAAGCAGTACTCGTGAACAATGTATATAAACTTTAATTAATTGATAAAATCTAGAGAAGGTCCCCCAGGTTGTAGGGGGGCTGGTATAAATTCCCAAGTTTTCTCCATTGTATTCATTAATTTGCCAGAATCAGCAGAATAATGGCTTCCAACTTTGTACTTCTTCTATTCCCAAGCACGCATTTCTAGGACCACGAGTGCAAGCATATTCATCATCCATCTAGATCAGTAAGAAAGCTTGCAGATCAGCTGGTAAAGGAGATATTTTTAGATGATTTCAGAGCCCTAGAAGGTCTCGCATCATTTCTCAAAACCGGCGAAGGGCAAATCTGATTGAAAATTGTCTGTACTTGAATAAAATTTAAATAGAATATAATCTGAAGATTAAAACTGAAGTAGCTTAAAGGATAAAAGTAGTATAAATTCAGAACTAGTCCTAATCCGCGTCATTGTTTGAAGAAAATTCCCGATATCGATAATGTTTCGACACGGATTTTGTGTTGTAGCTTCGGTGTTGTTGATTACCTTCGTGTTCAGCACCAAGGCAAGCCCTGTAAGTATTTCTCAAGCACTTTTCTTCGTTTGGAAATTTTAGTGACAGTTGTCGATTTTTTTCAGTTGAGTATTTCTGCGGGCAGTAGCAGTGTTCCTCTGCCAATTCATCCTCAGCTAAATGATTCTGACCTAAGTACTGAAACGAGTTCTTTTTATCCGAGTTCTACTGATTCAGATTCTTCAGAATCCAGTACTACATACCCAAGTTCCTCTTCCCCAAGTTCTCCAACAGCAAGTTCTACATACCTTGACAACACCAGTTCTGATCTGTCGAGTTCTACTGACTACTCTACTTCTAGTACGCCTGTGACTGATGATCCTACCACATCCAGTTCCAGGCCAGCTTATACTCCTTTTTCAGTAAGCGCATTTTAGAACTTCACAAGGGATTTTGCATCAGCAAAACACTTATCTATCGAAGGTTTTCCACTAAGTTGCACCTTTTACTCTTATCAATGGATAATGGAAAGGCTTGCGATAATAAGGTTTTTTGGATGATTGATTTAGATTGTTTATGGTTTGCTGTTTTTCAGGTGTCGGTTGTAAGTAAGAATGTCCCCAGCGATCTCTACACCTACACAGCTGTTGGCATTCTTCAGCTTTGCCTTGAAGAGGAAAGCAGTTTTAATCAAGCTTTGGTCAACTTTCAGCAATTGTTCCAAAACAAATATTTGACCGAAACTTGGAAACTGGCTACTGGCTGCAGTCTAATGATCCTGCCAAATAATGTTACCTACATTAAGTTGTTCGAGCAGTATACTCAGACGCAAATAATGATTTTTGTTTAATTATTGAACGATCACAGACGCTAACAAGGAATTTTTACTGTACATTTTTTGCAAATAAATTTTTTCTACATGGCAAGTTTCAACAATGAATTATACGACTCAAAAATCACACGTTTTGTGTTTGTTGAACTGGTGGAATAAACATTAGAAAATGGTGCAAGTTTTTTTTTCAATGTCCACGCAACCGTTCAATTTTTTTTCCTCAAAACTTCCACCTTATTGAAGGAAACTTTAACTTGAGGTAAGACTGGGAAAGACCAGAGTTTTCACTCAAAAACGGGCTCTTAGTGAAACGCTCTAAAGTGAGCGATTTTCCAGAAAAATTGCATTTTCTGTAGAAAACCACCACAAAACAGTGCAAAATTTGGTTTAGTGTAATTTATAATTTTTTTTCCGCTTTTCAAAGAAGTTTTTAAAATCGACAGTAGAATCTTTTTATACACTTTTCGAGAACTTTCAGTTAATTTATGAGAGCCAATTTACCAATTTTTTTGGGTAGTTGGGCGTATTTTTTGCCAATGCTTCCACGCCACTGGAGAAAATTTCACATTGATTCCTCCCGGTGAAAGCCCAAAGTCTTTCACACAAGAACGTGCTCTCAAACGCTCTAAAGGGAGCAGTTTGAGAGAAAAATCGAATTTTCTCTTTGAAAACCACCAGGAAAGTACCAAATGTTTGCTTAGTTTAATTTAAAGAAAACCACTTCCTAAATTCTAAAAACTGTTCAAAATCGACAATGGAACCTTCCGGCAATTTTTCTAGTAGTTTTAGCAAAATAATAAACGCCAATTTGCCAGTTTTTTGTGTAGCAGTGGCGTCGATTTTGCAGTAAAATGTTGGCTCTAAGTTTGTCCCTGTTTGCCTTCCTCGTCGGTGCTAATGCCCATAATGTAAGTGTTTCCATTATCTATTCACATGCGCGTTTAGAAGGCATTCTCTATTTCAGATACCAATTCTGAGGTCATCAGATTCAGACGGTTCTGAGCTAAACTTATTTGATTGAAGTTCTTCTATAGCACACTTTCTTGAACCCAGTTTTGTTAAAGCAAGTGCTGTTGGATCCACGTCGGTTGTTCGAACTGATTCTAATCCAAATTCGAAGCCGGTTAGTTTTTATGACTCAATTGCCGCCGCCCATTTACTTGCTCTCAGTTTCGGCAAACCAGGCGCTATTGAACCGAGTTTTGTTGCAACAGCTGCTATTAGATCCTATTCGTCTGATTCCACTGATGCTGGTTCAGATTCTTCAGACAGCGCAGATGCCGGCTCAGATTCCTCAGATAGCGCGGATACCGGCTCAGATTCCTCAGCCAGTGAAGATGCCGACTCAGATTCCTCTAAAAGTGCTATTAAACTAGAACTTATTCGGCCAACCCCTATTGTACAAACAGCTATTCGATCTTTCGCGTCTGATGTAAGGGATGCTGGAGCAGATTCCTCAGAAGGCGGAGGCGGAGACGACGACGACGACGACTCAGCTTCCTCCGATGATGGCTCTATAGGTGCTTTTAAACTGGAAGTTCTTCGACCAACTATTGTACAAACAGCTATTCGATCTTTCGCGTCTGATGTAAGGAATGCTACAGCAGATTCCTCAGAAGGCGGAGGCGGAGACGACGACGACGACGACGACTCAGCTTCCTCCGATGATGGCTCTATATAGGTGCTTTTAAACTGGAAGTTATTCGACCAACTAGCATTAAAGCAACTGTGTTTAAACCAAGCACTTTGAGCGCTTTGTTTGGCTTATAAACTGCGCACATAATTAAAAGTAGTAGATTTTCAACTAGATGTTCTTTTAAGCGAAGTTTTAATAAAAGTAACTTTATTTTGAACCGTTTTGTACATTTTTTTCTATTTTTAGAATGATGTCTTAGGCAGCAAATGTACTTAAAAGAAGGAAGTGATTCAATAATTAAACATTTTTAACTTAATTGTGTTACAAAAATCGAAATGAAACTGAACTTCTAGTAACTTAAGTGCTTTTTTCCGACCAAGATTTTATGTGAGAATCACTTTAACCATGTCGTATCAAGCGGGCCGAAAAGCCGAATTTATACGAAAATGCATTTTTAAGAGGAAATTTATGGCCGGATTTGGGGGACTGGCTTTAATATGAGAAAAGTTTCGGAACCTTGAACTTGCACTTGTTGGTATTGCGACAAAACTGGAGCCACAAAGTCGATCGTATTCGCTTCTGGCATGGCGGTTCGTCTACGTAATAAAACCGCTCAAAAATGCCTCAGGATGCTGAAGTTCAACGAACTGACTCCGGACTGGAATCACTAAAATGAAACGGAGGTCAGCCCGAAAAATAAACATTCTCATGGAACCTCATCCAGTAAGTCACATTTAGGCCCAAACCGACTTAAAATAGCCGTTGCAACGACCTCACTAGAGACAAGTCTTTCACCTACATCCCAAGAACGCACTATTTACATTTCGGTCGCGGGCTTGATATTGTCAAAGAACTATCTCAACTCTCGTCATAGAACTAGAACAACGTAATTTTAAAGTACTTTTTACGCTGCAAGTCAGCAAACAACTAGTTTGAGTTGGTTTAGACCATTTGAGGGACTGTGGGATGTTTGAAAGTTGATTGCCCGACTCATTGTGTGCACATTTCACAGTTTTTAGCGTACTTTCTACGCAACACGCCGAAAAAACAATGAGAATTTGGGGATTTTTTTCGGATCTTAGCCAATGATTATTATGCCATCATGTCGCATAGTTGCCAGCTGGAAAAACACACGCTGAGTACAAAAAATAACGATTTGGCGCAGTCGCCCTTCCAGACGCAACGGCAACCAGCCAAAATGGCCCTACGGAGAGCGTCCCGACGCTGAGCGTCTCATTCGCTCTTCAACTGTGCCATGCTTTGCAGGCGCTGATCAGATTTAGCGCGTCTCCACGCGGTCTGCAATGATGTGAAACTTTGCATGAAACTTTCCCAGTTTGCGAAAACAGCCGGGGTGTTTTCGGTGTTAAATGGATAGCGAAGATCAGCGGCATTTGCTTCAGCCCGTCCTCGAGTTGACTAAGCTCAAGTTGCTTGCAAGAGTCACCGAAAGTTACGACCAGTTGCTCAAAGACTTAGACACCATGCTGTCTTCGGAGTACTATAATGGATTCTTGGATGTTGTACAGGTTAGCTGAGTCTTTCAGTATTTTACGTCGATTTATAGGCCTTTATTTGGACTCTGATAGCAAGTTTTCTGTATTTGAGTTGGGTGATTTGAAAAATTTGAAACTCACCAAATAAACACGGCATCTACTAGAAACTTTTGCGGCCTACAGAGGGGCCTTTCGCCTACAGCTCCTGGAAATTTAGTTCAAATGCTGCAAACGCCTGATTTTTTACGAACTCGCAATTATCAATGCGTAACCGAACGGTTCTGCTCAAGTGCAAACTAATTTTCAAAAATGTTAAACTTCCAAACTGAAGCAAGTAGTAACTTGAAACTTCTACAGCTTATAGGAACAGGTTTGCTTTATCAATATCTAAACTTACATAAAACTCCTGATTTTATACTTCCTCGCACTTACAGGTGCGGAGTTGAACGTTTGTCCCAAATGCGCAGGCATAATTTTCAAAAATTTGAACCTTTGGGCCTAAAACTGGCGGGAAGTTGAAACTTCTACAGCGTATAGAGGAATGTTCGCGCCACCCAATCGCAAACTTATATTGAAATCCAGAAAAATCTTGATTTTTTAGCATCTCGCAATTGTGGGTGTGCAACCAAACGGTTTCCCCATGTGCAGGCTAACTTCGAAAAATTCGAAACTTCTGAGCGAAACCAGGCAGCAACTTGAAACTTCTTCAGTCTACGGAAGAGACTTCGCGCTATAACTGCTGAAAATCACCTCAAGGTGCCAAAAATTCTGATTTTTTTACGATCTCGCAGTTCAGGTGTGCAGCTGAACACTTGTACTCAAAGTGCAGACCAATGTTCAAAAATTTGAAACTTTGGAGTTAAAACCGGTAGTAATTTGAAACTTCGACAGCTTATAGAAGAAACGTTGTCCTATATATTGGCAAACTTATATTAGAATATTAAAAATGGTGATTTTTAACCATCGCGCAATTATAAGTGTGTAACCAAACGGTTTCGCCCATGTGCAGGCTAACTTTGAAAAATTCGGAATTTCAGAGCGAAACCAGACAGCAACTTGAAACTTCTTCAGCCTACGGAATAGACTTCGGGCTTTAACTGCTCAATATCACCTCAAGGTGCCAAAAAATTATGATTTTTTTACGATCTCCCAGTTGCAGGTGTGCAGCTGAACGCTTGCCCCTAAAGAGCAGACTAATTTTCAAAAATTTAAAACTTTGGAACCAAAACTGGTAGTAACTTGAAACTTCGACAGCTTATAGAAGGAACGTTGTCGTATATATTGGCAAACTTATATTAGAATATTAAAGATGGTGATTTTGAACGATCTCGCAAATATAAGTGTGCAACCAAACGGTTTCGCCCATGTGCAAACTGACTTTGAAAAATTCTAAATTTCCGAGCGAAACCAGACAGCAACTTGAAACGTCTTCAGCCTACGGAAGAGACGTCGGGCTATAACTACTGAAAACCACGTCAAAGTGCCAAAAAATTCTGATTTTTTAACGGTCTCGGAGTTACAGGTGTGCAGATGAATGCTCGTACCCAAAGTGCAGACCACTTTTAAAATATTTGAAACTTTCGAGATAAAAGTTTGGACGTAGCAGCTTGAAGCTTCTCGCACCAATCAAAAACAGCTTGTTCTATTTATGAAACTTTATATAAAAATTCTGGAAAATCCTGATTTTTCACGACCTGGTAGTTGTAGGTATGCACCAGAACGGGTTTGCCCATGTGCAGCCTAAACTTTGAAAAATTCTCATCGTCCACCTAATCAACTAAACAACTTGCAAATTTTGCCAGCAATGTAAGGGACTGCCGCCTACAAATTTGCCAAATTTCAATAAAATTCTACACAATTCTGATTTTTTACAACCTCGCAATTATAGGTGTTTACTTAACGCGCTTGCCACTATGCAGACTAATTTTGAAAATGTCTAAACTTACAAACTTAAAGAAGCAACACCTTGAAAATTTTCCAGTCGCTAGTCAATAGGTGGATGATTTTTTTCGGTTGTTGATTTGGATGCAATTGAGACCAGTTACGTTAAGAAATCGCATCTAAAAATGGCCTCGATAAGTACAGCCCAAAGCAGGAATATTGGAATACTCCTGACAATGAAATTCCTGCTGTTCCGATATTTATTCAAGTGCTGATATTTATTGGGTTTTGCTGCATTATATCGCTCGCACTTTGACAAATCCATGCCAAGGTTTCTTGATGGTGGTTGGAATCGCAGGATATCGAAATTCCCTTTAAATATCGTCTTTATTAACTTTATTGCCTAAAAATCCTTTGAGCAACGCCTCTCTTTACGTGATCTGAGAGAAGTTTATTTAGATTTGTATCATCAAAGTTTGCGCCCGAAAAAACTGACAAAAGTGGTCGTTTTTCCGCTCCCTTGCCAAGTGATAATAAATTAGATAAAAACATGCGAAGCTTTCCTTTTACGTCTTTTCGCGTTCTTCCTAATATAAGCTGCAGGAATGTTGAGCTGATCATAATTTCCCAATTTAAAGCAGCCGTCGAGCCTTGGATTGAATTAGGGCTGGAAAACTCATCAATCTTCCACGGTACATCGGGCCTCATATTATTTTATCAAGCGATGTTAAATTCCACCCGTTGCAGGATTTTTCTGATATTTTTCTATATGTAGACGGAAGCCCTTTTAAGGGCGCATTGTTGCGTTTAATTAAAAATTTCGGCGTTTTTCTGCTTCAAAATCGGGGCTGGTTCTTTGCCGCAAGGCGCCGCTTTTGGGCGGTTTGAATTGATCCTGATGAGCATGGTTTTTTGATTTTTTGGTTTTGCAACTGATGATTTATGGGGACGTCTATGGGTTTTATGCTAGTTTCAGTAGAAAGGTTCCAATGCAGATGTAAAGACTCAAGAACAACCAAAAAACCGTAGATTTTGCAAAGTTTCAAACATAAATTATTGATGCTCATTAAAAAAGGGCGGTCAAAGAAACTCAAGTGAGTTTCAAATGGAGGTTAATAACCTTACACACTTTTAAAGGCCACTGGGGGAAAGACAGATGAAAAATTTCTGGGAGCCGTTTGTTATCAAAAACTAGGAACAGAGAGATCATTGCCTTTGATGGAGTTCAGAATACCGTGTAAAATTTGTCACAATTTTTGTCGATTTTTAAGAAATTTTTGAATCATTCGGCCGCGATATCTGTTTGCTTTCGGCAGAGTATGCGTTAAAAAATCGTTAAGAAAAATTTGAAATGGTTGGAATAGTATTTTTTATGTTGATTTGTAGAGAAAGCTCAAGACTATTCAGTGTGAAAGTTGCAATTTTTCCAGAAAATTCATTGATATTTGACAATTTTCCATTAGATAATTTGTTTTATCAGGCATTCAACAAGGCAAGTTTTAAAAACTTGTTACCTAAAATAAGGAACAGCTCCAAAAAACATTTTGCTTCATTTTATAGAGCAGGCCTTGCTCTATTTTTGAGATTAATGGAAAATTTTTTCAAAATTTTGTCAATTTTTTACAGCTTTCTGAATCAGAGGGCCGGAATTTCAATTAGTTTTCGAATAAATTCATCCGCAAGATTTAAAAATTCTTGTACCAAAATCAAGAACTTTGGAAAAATGTGGTTTACCTCATTTTTGAAGTCAAAATTTGGCCTATTGATTCTGCAAACGACAATTTGCTTAAAAAATTGGTTGATATTTGACAATTTTTTGACTGAATAGATCTGAATTTCAATTTGTCCAATTTTTAATAATTTGTTAACAAAACGCAAAGAGTTTTTTCAAATAACTTTTTACACAATTTCATTGGCCACGCTTTACACTATTCATTGGGCTAAAGACAATTTGGTCGAGAGATTTTTCGATATTCGACAAATTTCTGAATAAGAAAGTCGGAATTTGCCTTCACATATATTCGGCGGGGCAAGTTTGAAAAACTCGTTAACAAAAATCAACAACTTCTATAAAACTACTTTTAATCTCATTGTAGAGAGCGGCCTTTCCTGTATTTATAGTTGAAAATGTTGTTTGCACAAAAAATTGCACAATTTTAGACAATTTTTTGAACCAGAAGGTCGGAATTTCAATTTGCCTTCAAACACATTCAGCGCGGCAAGTTTTAAAAATTTGTTAAGCAGATTGACAGATTTATCGGAAAATACTTTTTGTCTCACTCTATAGAAAAAACTTTAGTCTGTTGACTGTGCTGAAGAGAATTTGCACAAAAAAAATTGTAGATCTTTGACAATTTTTTGAATGAGAAGGTCGAAATTTGACTTCACATACATTCGGCGGGGCAAGTTTTAAAAATTCGTTAACAAGCATTAAGAACCTCTAGAAAAGGAATTTAAATCTCATTGTAGAGAGCGCCCTTTCCTCTATTTAAAGTTCAAAAGATCATTTGCTCAAAAAAATGCACGATTTTAGACAATTTTTGCAATTTGCAAAAAATAGAATTTGCCTTCACATATATTCGGCGGGGCAAGTTTGAAAAACTCGTTAACAAAAATCAACAACTTCTATAAAACTACTTTTAATCTCATTGTAGAGAGCGGCCTTTCCTGTATTTATAGTTGAAAATGTTGTTTGCACAAAAAATTGCACAATTTTAGACAATTTTTTGAACCAGAAGGTCGGAATTTCAATTTGTGTTCATACACATTAAGCGCGGCAAGTTTTAAAAAATTGTTAACCAGATTCACAGATTTCTCGGAAAATAGTTTTTACCTCTAAAGAGTCTATTTACTGTGACAAAGAGAATTTGCGCAAAAAAAATTGCCGATATTTGACAATTTTTTGAATGAGAGGGTCGCAATTTTAAGTTGTCTTCAAACACATTCAGCAGGGCAATTAAAAAAAATTATTGACAACAATCAGGAGCAGTTAGGAGAAAGTTAGTCACCCCATTTTATAGAAAAAATTTAGCTCATTTGTCGGGAAACCGAGAATTTTCAGCGCGGCAAGTTTTAAAAATTCATTAACCAAGTTGAAAAAATTCTTCAAAAAAACACGTTTGGCCTAGTTATTGTGTCAAAGACAATTTGCCGCAAAAAAATTGTCATTTGACAATTTTTTGATACAGGACATCGGAATTTCAATTTGCTTTCCAACACATTCAGTAGAGCAAGTTTTCAAAATTAATTGACAAAAATCAGGAGCAGTTAGGAGAAGGGTTGTAACCTCATTTTCTACAGAAGACTTTGCCTTATTTATCCATAAAGTGCCAATTTGCTCAAAGTAAATTTTGAAATTTGGCATTGTTTTTAAATTTATTGCTTTAACTTTGCCTCAAGACGTTGATCAAATACCCACACAATTTTTCATTTTCTCGTTTTCGCTCTAAGAGCTGTTGCCTTAAGGCCGAAACAAATCACTCGTTCGGGCCTTTGCCAGTTTCGCATGCTTCGCATGCCTGACAGGATTTTTTAATTCTTGAATCAAAACGCGCTCAGATGGAGGGTTCAAATAATGGCCCAATTTGACCAAAACCTTCCCTTGACCGATTCAATTTATCGAATAGTGGCAATCGCAACTGGCCATTGCAATGATTTATGCAATTATTGAATTTGAACGAATGCCAGGGTTGTTTGTATGCATTTCAGTCGATAATAAACGCATTGGTGGAGTTTGATCGGATTTAATCCCCTTTTGTCTTTGCAGGTTCACACCGAATCCAGTGATATCCATAAGGGTGCAGTTCAGCACAGTACCAGCCTGATGATGAACGCATCCATGCACGCTAATGACTCAGTTTTTCTTCCGGAGCTGTTCTATCGACACTCAGCTGCAATGACTGCTGTCTACTGCATTGCGTATCTTCTGGTCTTCGCTATTGGAATTGTTGGCAATTTCTTTGTAATCGCGGTGGTTTTTCGGTCGCCGCGTATGCGAACCGTCACCAACTTCTTCATTGTTAATTTGGCTGTTGCTGATATTTTGGTGATTGTCTTCTGTCTGCCTGCGACTCTGATGTCCAACATTTTCGTCCGTAAGTATGCCGTTTAAACCTCACATAAAACTACTGACTTTTGCAATTCACCATGCAACGGAAATCAATCTATAAATAGAGCGAAGCATTGAGACCAAATGGGGCTTAAACCCTCTTGAGCTGGGAGCTCTAAAGTCATCGTTTTTCAAAACTCTAAGCCGCAGCATCCATAAGACAGACGTATAAACACAAAGTGCATTCGCAACTTCGAACTGTGCTTGTTATCTGTTTCATCTCGTATTCGTATTCAGCAGGAATTGCTGCTGCTGCTGTTTAAAACAGTGGCGTGAGTCCTGAAAACCCACATTTTTTTTTAAGGAAAATTTTGAGGTATTTGTCCAGAAGGGTTTTATTTTGAGGGCATTTTAATCATTAACATTGGTGCCTATTGGAGCATTAGTCGATCAACTTGGAAAAATTACTATCTTTTAACCCCGCTGAAGCAATTTGCTTTTTTGAAGCCCGATCGTGCTTCAGGCTTAAAACTCTGAAATTTTCGCTCGAATCCTGATGTTGCGTAGAAGCTAGGGCAAAATTAACATTTTTACTCACTTGCGCGCTATATTTTAAAAATGCGCAACTCTTTGCAGGAAGCAGGTGGCAATGTGAAACTTGTCCACCTTGTAGAAAATACCCAATACTGAGCACATGGAATGGATGGTTTTACTTCGATCACATGCAATCCTGATCAGTTTCTGTCATTTAAATGTAGGATTAAAAGTTAGCAATTCCACCCATTTGCACGCTGTCTGGTAAAAATTCATAACTTTTAACTGCAGGTCTTGTAGGAACTTGAAATTTGTGCACCCAGTAGATAATACGTCGGGCTAAAAAATTGAAAATGTTGATTTCCATCACGTTACAATATAATTATTTTCAGTCGTGCGAATGCTGAACCAAAAATGATCAATCTCATTCACGTTCACGCTGCCTTAAAAAAGAAAAGCTGTTGACCAGATCCAGGCAGCAACTTGGAACTTTTCTTATAGAGGACACTTGAAGTTTAACAATATGAAATTTCAGTTTCAACCATGGGAAGTTTTGATCAGCGCCAGTATTGCAAATTCTATGCCAGCAATTAACATTGTCACTCACTTGCACGCGGTCTTTTTAAGATTCCTAGCTTTGAGGTGGAACCAGTTAATCACTTGAAACTGGCCCACCCTATAGAAGATGCTCGTGACGTAATATCCTAAAACTTTCCCTTAGATCACTTGAAATTCTGATCATTGCCAGTCCTGTAAATATGGGACCAAAAATAAAAATGTTCAGTCCTTTGTGCGCTGTCTTTTAGAAATTGATAACTTTTAAGTAGAACTATGCATCAACTTTAAACTTACTCACCCTATTGAAGACCCTCGGCCCTTAAGACCCTGAAATTTTCACTTAGATGGCGAGAAACTAAAATCATTACCAGCTCTGTAAATAAGGGACCAAAAGTGTACATTTTCACTATAGCTCGGGGTTTAAAAAAAATTCCTAACTCTCAACACAAAATTGTTTGTAACGTGAAACTTATCCATCCAATAGGACTTACTTAGAGCTGGAAGCACAACATTTTGTACTTTGATACCGCAAAGACGTGATCATTGCTGGTCATGGACGTGCAGGGCCAAAAATGAAAATTTTCACTTTCCACGCTGTCCTTTAAAAATTAGTAACCTTCAACCTAAACCAGATAGCAACTTGAAAACAACAGAGATTTAAGACTCTACATTTTTAAATCCAATCACGTTAAATTCTGATCCTGGCCAATCTTATAAATGCTGGATAAAAAATTAAAAATTTCACTCGATTATACGCTCTCATTTAAAAATTGGTAACTTTTCAATGGAACCAGGCAGCAACTTAAAACTAGCCCACCCCATAGTAGACATGTATGACTTCGAACTGTAAAATTCTGAATCTGATCACGTAAAATTCTAATAATTGCCAATATTGCAAATTCTGAACCATCAATGAACAATTTCACTCATTTTCACGCGGTCATTTAAAAATTCGTAACTTTTCAATGGAAATCGGCAACCAAATGAAACTTACACACCTTATACGGGCCTCTACGGCTTATCATGGCGGTATTTTCACTCCGATATCGTGAAATTCTGATTATTGCCTGGTCTGCAATTTCGGGCCCAAAAATTAACTTCGGGATTCACCTGCACGCTCTCCATTAAAAAGTCCTAACTTCCAACCTAGACCAAGCAGCTCCTTAAAATTTGTCGGCTTTATTTGCAACAGTCAAATTCCCAAATTCTGAAATTTTAGTGCAATTTCCTAATAATAGTAATTATTGGCAGTTTTTTAAACGGTGAGTAAAAAGTGAATATTTTCGCTCAACAGCAGGTTCTCGTTCAAAATTGCCAGCTTCTCCTAGAGAGCAGGTAGAAACTCGAAATTGGCACATCCTGTAGCAGATATGCAGAGCTGAAAACCCGAAAACTATGAATCAAATTGCATCAACACATCAACGAGAACCAACTGAGTCAGTCCTGTAAATTTTTTGCGTAAAATTTCAATTATTTTCGCCCAGGTGCACGCTCTCGTTCAAAAACTCCTCACTTCCCCCTCAGAATCGCTAGTAACGTAAAATTTTCGCACCCTATAGAAGACACTTTTTTTTAAAAACTCGCAAAATTTCACTTCAATCAGAAAAAATCTGGATTTTCCCAGCCCTGTAAATGCTGAGAAACCCCGCTAAGTTCGGCAGCGCCATGTAGATAAACCGCGAAACTTTATGAACAACTTATCCAGGTTTTTCCTAACTGGAAAATAGAATTAACTAGCAGAGAACATGGGCGAATGATCTGCACGCTATGCACGCATTTCATGCATAAATGTACGGCGCGCCAAAGGAAATGGAATTTTTATGCAAGAAACGTCGGAAAAGCTAAGCGATTTAGTTGCATAATACTGGAACTGCTCGTTTTAAGCCAGCTACGGCCAGTTTAGCCCGAAACAAAGAAGGCAGCAACAAAACTAAATTTGGCAATTTAAAGCAGACGTTTCAGGGACGTTCCTTAGCCAAAATGCCTGATCCATTCCGACTTGGACGTCCATAAAACGTCAACACGCTGCCTTAAATCTGTTTGGAGTATATACACAGTTGTTACACCCCCATTTGAAAGCTTTCCATCTTCATAACACGCCAGCGATAAACGAATTATGGTTTTCCGAAACATTTTCTGCAATTTATGAGCGTAGACAACATTTGTCAATCGTCCAGTCTGGATTTCCAATAAAATCCGCATTTTTCCCATCGTTTTTCCAGCTGGCGGAGCTTTCGCTGAGCTCGGACATCGAGATCGAAGTTAGAACACCATTTGCGTAATTTCTGGTAATTGAATGTTCGGCTTTGAAAGCTGGAGATGTTCACTTTATGGTTTCGCCATGAAAGCTGCAATAAAATCGATTTGTCTGAAGGAAAAGCTTTAATTGCCCGCACAGACTTGGAGAAAATGCTCCATTTTCCATTTAAGAGAATTACTTTAACTGCCTGTAAACGGCGAATCGGTTCATTGCCTTGACTGGTTTGCAACATTCAATGCTCCTGTAAAAGTTTTTATTTTTTAAACGTCAGCTCTTACACTAACGAGGTGTTAGACAAGTACTGGAAAGCGCATTTCTTTTTACTAATGCTAACGTTCACTTTCTCTGCGGCTGCAACTCCTTCATCTTCTCCAGCCAGCTTTCTTTTGCCCTGCAGCTGAATCCTCTGGATCTGCACCTGGCGGGCAGTCACTACTGGAAAATAGTCGATGGCAAACAGCTTCGGAGGCCTCATATCGCGCCAAACTGCATCGCTGAGCGCTGAGTCGTCTTCAGCAACGCTACGATCCAGTTTCGTTCCTTCCACGTAAACAAACGTCTTCTCTTCATCGTCCAGTATGTCGCCGCAATAGCAGCCTTTGATGAGTCCATCCATATCCGGCGCTGAGTCCATGGTTGCTGAGTTTACAGGAATTTTTCTTGTTTGGGAACTTCAAATTTGACACTTTCAATAGGTACTAGGTACTACTTTCAATAGGTGCTAGTTGGGAAATTGAAAATTTTTGGGTTATAAAAAACTTTTTTTGGCAAGTGAGAGTGAGAGGCCTGGATTTAGTTGCATTTGATAGCGGAATGTTGGTCTATTATTGCTGAAAGTGGTGATTTTGTCTGGGTTTTCTTCATTTTTTGACAATGTCTTAAATCTGATCGCTGGAACCAGGTTTTTTCTTCTTGGAAAAGTTTTGAGAATTTGTTTTGTATTTTGTCAGAAGGTGACTTTTTGCGTTATATATTAAAATAAACTGATTTCTGTTATGCCGATAAGCGTAGATTTTCTCGCAATTTTCTTACGTTTTTGGCGGAATCTTCAACTTGAGTGTGCAACTGCATTTTTCTCCAAAAAACTGGCAGGATTTTTTTAACAAATTCTCACGCAGTTTCAGAATTAGTCAGATAATAATTTTATTCACTGTTGGATGAGGAAATAATAATTCTATTCAGTCAGTAAGTATATATTTGATGGCAAATTTGCTCGATTTTTGGTAATGACTTTAACATGAATGTTGCGATTGCATTTTTGCTCTAAAAACCGTTGGCAAGATTTCTTCAAAAAATTCTCACGTGGTTTCAAAACTGGATATATAGTCAGTTTTTTCGCCGTTCGATATTAAAATGCTTGTTCCATTATATCAGAAAATATCGATTTGATAGCAAATTTCGTTGATTTTTGACGGTATCTTAAACTTGAATGTTGCAAATAAAATGTTTCCTATAAAAGGAAATATTTTCTTTTAAATCGTCAGTCAGCTTAGAAAGTACGCAGATGATCACTTTTTGCGCCGCTGGACAGAGAATTGATTGACCTATGGCGTGAAAAAATATCAATTTGATAACAAAGTTTGACAATTGTTCGCGATTTCTTAAACTTGACTGTTGCAGCTGCATTTTTGCTCTAAAAAACGGCAAGATTTTTTCAAAAAATCCTTACGGAGCTTAAAAAGTACGCAGATGGT